GATGTTTGTGTGTGTTTATGTGTTTGTTTGTGTGTGAGTGTATATACGTGTGTGTAACAATACAAACTCACTACACTTACAAACATACATAAGAATAAATATATAATACTATAATATACACACGCACGTGTTGTTGTATGTGTACGTGTGTGCGTATATGTGTGTATGTGCGTGTATGCATTTTAGGTCTGCGTAATGCATCCAGCAAAATGGAAACACATGTAGATGGATACAATTTTGTTGTCAGAGGAAGAAACAGGCAACCAATTAACAATATAATTGTTCGCATTAATTGCTAACACAAGATTCTCAACCACCACCATCATCACCATCATCTTCTTCTTCATCTTCTTCTTTCTCTTCTTCTTCTTCTTCTTTTTCTTCGTTCGTTCATCCATTCGTTCGTTCGTCCGTTCGTTCATTTGCTCATTCGTTCATTCGTTCATTCGTTCATTCATTCATTCATTCATTCATTCATTCATTCATTCATTCATTCATTCATTCATTCATTCATTCGTTCGTTCATTCATTCATTCATTCATCCATTCATTCATTCATCCATCCATTCATTCATTCATTCATTCATTCTTGTCTCACATAAATCAGGTGTTTTCATTCTTTATAGTTTAATTTTTATTCGTTTTTTAACATTATTCCGCTAAAATTCGTTTTTTCTTTAATTTTCAAATTGAATTCTTTATTAACGCGAAACAGTTTTGTGATTTGGTTACTTTGCAGTTACCAAAAAAGTTTTACGTGGTTCACCTTCTAATGTTATATTCTCATTGAACCTTAAAACTAAATTTGTAAACTGTTGGGAAAAATAGAAACTGATATTTTCAAGACAACATGGCATTTAATAACAAAATATACGCTTAAATAACGTGCCCATGTTAAGATACTTATTAAAAAACTCAAAAGAAAAAGATTTGCGCCGCCCGGGAATCGAACCCGGGTCGCAAGAATGGGAATCTTACATGATACCATTACACCAGCGGCGCCACGACGTTAAAGGCCAAATAGAAAGACTTAATTTAAAGAGAAAAAATTTTATACGTTATATACTATACTATGTGGGATATGTTGATCGTAAATTTGTGACCTATCTGCCATCTTTAGAACACAAGTGGAAAACAGAATCTTCAAATAATTTCAAATTTCTTACATGTCGTCCAGCATCAACTGCAAGACCTTGTAAAACATTTCTGCCGCTTTCATTGGTGGATGTTTAAATCTTTAAATTTGAAGGGGGCGAAGAAACTAACCAAACTTCTATAAGTGTGGCTATAATAGTATAATATAATTAGTTAGGCTAATGGCCTTTTTTAGATTCATTACGTGTAAATTTTTGATCGATTTTTAACTAAAGGCTGAACTATGATGAAAATATTTCTCACAATGAGCGGTGTACCTTAGATCCACCCCTGAATGAATCAAGTAAAATTAAAAAAACTACCAGCTTAAAAATCGAACTATAGTACTAGTTCAGTCACACTTAATGACAATTATTCGGCCTATTCAAAATACTTTATATCAAAAACTTTTAGATTTCCATTACAAATTATACATTTTCATGCTCAAGGGACTGTGTACCACTTGAATCTAGTAAAAAAACTACCAGCTTAATTCACTATCAGCCCCTCATTCCCAAAAATAATTATTGTGGGTAGTTCGTAATTATAACTTTTGTTTTTTTTTAAATGATGTCTGGCGATTATTCTGCCGGAGATTGACATTTTAATGTGTAAGATGTGTATTATATACCTACGCGTGTGTGTGCGTGTATGTTTAGTTAGAACATGATGTATGTATTATATTGATGTATGTATACACATGACTATATAAATGTCTGTCTACCCAAATGTTATATCTATTAACTGAAATTACTGAATTTAAAAGCAGTTGTTAATTTTTCTTAAAAGGTAGGTAGTGGCCAAAAATAAAAAAACTTATCAATAATTCGTTATATTAACAAATTTAGAATTTAGAACATAACTCAGATTAAATAGATCAAATTGAAGCTTATAAGGACTGCAAACTTAACGTTGCCTCATAGCATCAACTACGACACCTTTGTGAAAAATCGTAATTGATGTCGTCCGCACGAATTTATATCGAAAGGCCATCAGTATTATTGTCATCGTTGTTAGTATAATTATTATCTGAAAGAAGACACTTAAATGCTTTTAAAACATCCTGCTTAAATATTAATTGCCGCAGATATAAGTGTGTTTGTGTGTGTGTGTGTGTGTGTTACCGTTTCTCTGTATGTATTTGTATGTCTGTATGTTGTTAGATACCTATCTTTTTTAGACATATACATTTGTGATTCGACCTTTGACCAGGGTGTGGAAATTTGTTAAGGTGTTCATTCGTGACTGACAACCTTTTTCATTTTTTACTCAAAATGCATAAAAGACCTCGCGGGCAGCCCAAAATGGTTTTGCTTTCACCATCACACACATTTAAACACACACACACAATCAGACATACATACATAATTCAACACATAAACACATACGCACAGACAGATATGCACGAGCAAAACATAGATAGAAATAGTATGATTTATAAACACACATATATAAACCCATCCTTATAGACACAGTCATATAAACATACGCACACATACACACACACATACACACACACACATTCACACAAATACACACACATCAAACGCACTCAGTCTACTTGCTTAAGCTCTATGAAACCCTAGGACTTTGTTATTAAGAGACCATTGGAAAATACGTTTTGCGCAATAAGATTCGTCAATTAGAAAACTTGCATGCGTTTTTCATAATATCTGAAAGAATAACAATTTTAGAAGTATAATTAATTAATTAATAAACTAATTAATATTTATAAGATTTATATGAATAATAAACCCTCTTTATAAATGTCAGTAATGTGGGCTCTCAACAAGAGCAATTCGTTATATCATCATTGTTTCTTATTTGTACGCTAAAAAGTCAGCCACACACACACACACGCACATACACACTCACACACACACATACACCAAACAACACCACAAACACAAAAAAAACGACACGACTAACCAGAATACTACAAACACAATACAGACAACGCAAAAACCTACAATGATGACGACGATGATGATGAAGACGACGACGACGATGATGATAAATTAAAACTATGAAAACAACGTCTGTTGATGTTGATGGTTATGGGCGTAAAAGCACAGTTTTAAATTTCTAAAAATTCCAAGTTTTACTTTCATTCTTCTGCTGTTCAAAGTTTATTACCAACACAAGCAGAACTATAACACACGAACTAACAAAACATTATATATATATATATATATATATATATATATATATAAAGAGAGAGAGAGAAACAGAAAGAAAGAGAAAAAGAGAGAGAAAGTAAGAAAGACAGAGTGACAGAGAGGCATATACCTAAATATGCACAATTGAAATAGGAGAGAGAGAGAGAGAGAGAGAGAGAGAGAGAGAAAGAGAGAGAGGGAAAGAGAGTGATGATGACGATGTTGATGATGATGTTGATTAGAATGATGATGATGATGTAATATGATTGTACTGGAAATGACAGTAAAAATGAAAAATGAATGAAATTAACAGCTACGATGATGATAATCTGTGAAAAGAAGACACTAACATCATCTTCATTATCATCATCTTTTTTTTATCATCATCCTCTTTCTCATCATCTTCACCATCATCATCATCGTCGTCGTCGTCATCATCATCGTCTTCATGACCATCTTCCTTTTTATCATTACAAACGTCACCATTCAGTTTCTTTCCGACACACTCATCACGTAAGTCATCATCATCATCAAGACATTCATACATGTATGAATATCTTGGGTTTCTGTTTGTTTCATAAAGTAAAGTTTTAAGTAAAAATCTTTTACTTTAGCCACTTTTTATTTGCTCTAATTAGCACTTAGATAAATATTCGTGTTATTTTATGTGTGTGTATACAAACACACACACACAGACACACTATTGCTCTCATGTTAAACCACACGCACACACAAACTCATACACTCACACATTCATACACAAACACACACACACCTACACACCTACACACACACAGCCTTCCCAACCTATAACAACAAATTCGTCATTCCTCCAATACCAGTTAACTGGTTTTAACCAAAAAGCCCCGATTTTTGATTTTAGGCAATACTATCATTACACATACACCACACACACACACACACACACACACATGCGCGCGCGCACAGTTTCACACACAAATTCAAACAAGTTAAATAAAAAACTCGTTATAACGGAGTACGATATATCGAGAATTCATATAAAGTTGATAACAAAATGCTCTGTTTTCTTTCTCTGTTTGCAAACATTATTACAATTATTATAATTGCACCGACATCATTGTAGAAACCTGGTATAATTACCATCTTGTTACACACAACACGCACACACACACACACACAGACACACAGACGCACACACACACACGCATACACACAGACGCACACACACACGCACATATATATATATATATCATTAAAATATGTGTGTGATTGTAATACGTATGAATGGATACTGTTATAAAAAGACAAGCTGAGCGTTGAAATGAACATTGTTTGGCATTCGTTCTAACTTTGGATTTTTTCCGATAAAACTTGTTTGATTTGATTAAATATAGTTATTATTATTAAATATTTTAAATGAATAAATCAATTAAATTAGTATTATATTTAATGAAATAGAAAATAGTTGAATCATTGATAATTTATTTTAAAAAGATTCTTTTAAGTAACAATATATACTCGACTCTATTCGTTTCAGCAACAATTATGTAACACCAAAATTCATACAATTTATATATTTATTTTTGTTATATATTAAACTAATAAGACAAAAGATTTATTGTAACGTTTTGATAGTTTGATAGAAAATCATCGTCACTAATAACACGTAATTTATATTATCATACTTGTTATCACACAAATAACACGAACATCAACACAAAACAACATGGTAACTAACATCAACTACAACGACAGCAACGACAATAGCGACAACGACATTAATGACAACATCAACAACAACAGCAGCAGCAGCAACAACAGCAGCAGCAACAACAACAACAACAGCAGCAACAACAACAGCAACAACAACAATCCTATCAACAACATCAATGTAAACAGAATATTCACCATAGATAATCAAACCAATTTCTACAACAACAATGTCGTCAACTCCAACAACACTCCAAACAACAAAAACCAATCGTTAAAGAATTCAAATCTACATAAAATTAACCAGTCACTAGAAATCATTAACACAGATGAGATAAATAACAACCAACCAATAGCAGATCAGAATGGGTCTTGCCCTGCTTATGGTCATCAGCCAATCACAAACGGCCTACTAAATGATATTCACAAATATGAAGGCTTTGTTCTTAATAAATTTTCTAATCATGGTTTGTTAACAATTTTACAGTTTTTTACGATTTTTGAAGTTTTTCAAAGTTTTTCAAATGTTTTTCTAAATTTTTTAGAGATGAACAATTACACTCACACTCACACAGGCAGACATGCACGCACATACACATACACAGAGGTAAGCACACGCACACATACAAACGCGTTCACACACACGGGTAAACACACGCACACATACAAACGCGTACACGAACACACATACCAACACGTACACGCACGCACATACATACAAACACAGGTACTAATAAACGATCGACAAAAAATATTGACGATGCGAAAGTGAAAAGAATGATGATGAAGAAGAAGATAAAAGCCAATAGAAAATGTAAGGTTGATTGTTTGGTTGATCATTTGTCTACATTGACTTTAACAGATAGTTACTATCCTTCCACACATATCATTATGTACGTAGTCATGTGAGTAAGTTAAATGATCACAACTCTATCAATTTGACATCATCATTAAAAAAATTCAAATAATCATCATTGTCCCAATCATCATCGTTATCATCACCATCTACCTCATTATAGCCATCACCATCGATACAATCATCATTATCATCATCTGTCTCATCACCATCAATATCATGATCATTATCATAAACATCATCGTTGTCGTTATTATCAGCTTTATGATCATCAACTCCTCTATAACTACTACAACAACCACCATCACCGTCGTCGTCATCATCACATTTGCAGACTTATTAACAGCGTTGTGGCTCTTATGCTGTCCACTCATGTGTCTTGTGGCCTGTGTTCGGACGCCCGCCTACTCAGATGACGACGATGATGACTGCTGCTCCTACTACAAATATGATAAAGATTACAATGATAACAAACACGGCTGATGATGATGATTAGGATTATAATAAATTTTTTGATGAATTTGGGCGAAACTAGTTGTCAATGTTGGTTCCGTTACGATGAGGATTATGATGATGACGGCAATGATGATGTTCTAACTAAGAGGGTGATGATGTAGCTAGCTACTCAGCTGCTGCTGTTGCTGATGATGTGATGATAGTAACAATGTACATACAAAGACTGGTGGAAAAACTTGTAATGACATAAGCGATGATAAAGATGATGATGACGAATACGATGATGATTGAAGTTCATTACGATAGTCTCATATTCCGACGAATGATGAGGACAAGATGATGACAAGATGATGGCAACATTACGACAAATGATAAGAAGAAGAAAGATGATATCATTCCGACTGCGACAAAGATTACAAGCAAACTTCGCCATCACAAAAAAAAAATCCAATTCGATTTTAAAATCTCTTCGGTCGAATAAAACAGGATGTTTGACGAAATACCGACAATACCGGTTCGGAAATTCCTGTGATCTCTACCATTTCGATACTCTATTAAACATTTTTATTCTGTTTTTCGAATGAAGATATTTGAAATTTTTCACTTTAACTTACTCGGATCTGCTGATCTGTATCATGATATATATATATATATATATATATATATATATATATATATATATATATATATATATATATCATATAATATATATATATATATAATGTATTATTTAATAGAAAATGATCTTTATTAACAATAAAAGTTTGGACAAAATGAATATTATTGTTATTTATATAATAATAATAACAGCACAAATAATAACTAGAATTCACTGATAGGTCGAAAAAATTCAAAATGAAATAGAAATTGATAATAACAACAACAACAACAATAATAACAACAACTACAACAACAACAATAATAACAACAACTACAACAACAACAATAATAATAACAACTACAACAACAACAATAATAATAATAACAACAACAACAATAATAATAATAATAAACACTTCCGCGTACGTGCAGTCACAAAAGCGAGCAATCAATCTCAAAGGAAGCTGTGTGGAAACGTTACTTTTATGCCATCGTAATCATCATCATTATCAATATCGTCATCATCGTCGTCGTCGTCTTCGTCATCATCGTCATCATCATCATGATCTAGAGGGCTAACCACAAAATTGAACTTGTTAATGTAAACAAATTCTTCTTTGCATAGAAAAACTAACATTTCTGCTCTTTTTAATACTAACAACGTTACTTTACTACTACTATTACTAATACTACTACCACTACTACTACTACTACTACTACTACTACTACTACTACTACTACTACTACTGTCGTAGTACCACTAATATTGCTACTACAACTACTTCTACAACAACAACAACTACTACTATTAATAATAATAATACTACCACTCTTGTTACTACTACTACTACTATAACTTCTACAACTACTAAAACTAATACTACTTTAACTACTAGCGCTACTGCTTTTGCTGCTTTTACTGTGATTGCCACAGCTATCATTACAACAGCTATTATTACTACTATTACTACTATAGCTACTATTACTACAATGGTAATAAAAATGTATATAGAGATATAGAGAACGATTCAACATGTTACCAACGTCTTGCTTGTACTTGACACAATGCATGCAAACAACATATGGTGTGACAAATTCACAGGCGCACACACGCACACACAGACGCAGACACACAGACACACACAAACAAACAAACAAAAAACAAACAAACAGATATAATCATGGTTATATAAATAGCTAATGTATTTTTCCAGAATATTATTTTTAAAATAACTTTTAATACACTGGTTCGTTGTCCATGAGTGAACGAGCCAGTGTATTACCAGTGACAGAACCAGTGAACGAACCTGTAAACAAACAATGTATGTAATATTATAATTGAGATTTTTTCATATATTCCGAAATAAAGATTAACGGTCTAATGATATTTGAATATTATTATTATTATTATGATCATTATTATTATAATCATAATTATTAATTATAAAATTATGACAATTCTCGTTGATATTACTTTTATTATTTCTTTTAATCCGTTTCTTACCCACCGATAGTAATAATAATAATCGATAAGATGATGATGGTTATGATAGTGCTAAGGCAGTGAATGTAATATAGTATAAATGCTACTACTACTACTACTACTACTGCTGCTACTATTACTACCACTGCTACTACTACTACTACTAATAAAAATAATAATAATAGTAATAATAACAAAATAAGGGTAAATTTTGTTTGACGGGCGTATGTTTACATTGATCAGCGTTATACACACATACGTAACGTACGTTTTACACACACTCACACACATGTTATATACACACAACACACACACATACACACATATACATACACACAAAGTAACAAAGACACTCATACATAAAAACACGCCTACTTCAATGACTCATTTTAGTAAAATCCACGTAAAGCGACTTCCGTAAAACACGCTTGTTGAAGAGGAAATGAGGATTAAGGCATCAGTAACCAAAACGTGCAGTACACTTCTGCCAATGAAAGAATGATATGAACGCCTAAACTACGTTTAGAAACCATGGATACAGAAACTGATTTTATGGGTTAAACAGACGTAAACAATCCATATTTTATTTTGTTTGACGGCTAACTACGTACGTACGATGCAATGTTTATTTTATTATTGTTTCTTCCTTCTTTTTCTTTTTCGTGCCGTATCCATTCAGGACATTGGCGACCACCGACTTCCACAAAATCCGATCTTTAACACGTTGTAGTAGTTGAAATGTGGTGATAATCACCAAATGACAGACTTCACGAATGTTATTCGTTGTTGACCGCGATTTCTTCTCCCTGCAATCCTTCCAGTAGTTGTTAGATTTTCCATTCTTTCCTTCCACGTGATGTGACCAAAAAAACTTTAACTGCCCCCGTCGGATTATCTGTAGTAATTTCCTCTTTTCCTAACCGGACTGTTTTAATACATCCTCATTCAAAGAGGATGAGAGGTCCAACTAATTTTTATAATTCTTCTCAAAATCCACATTTTTCCCATTTCTTTAAAAATTGTCCAGGACTCAGAGCCATAAGTTAACAAAGAAAAAATGTAACACCCTAACAGTTTTAATTTTGTTGATATTTTGATTTTACTGTTGGTGAGAATGTTTTTCCTTTTAGAATATGCATCTTTCACCATAGCTATTTTTCATTTGATATCCATATCACATTTACAACCTGAGGTAATCAGACTTCCGAAATAATTGAAGCTGCTGGCTTGTTTCACCTGTTTACTATTAATAATTATGGTGCAGATCGGGGCGGTTTTGCTTTTACTGATAACCATACACTTTGTTTTGTTGATGTTAATTTGCAAGCCGTTCCTTTTACTTTCAAAAACCAGTTTGGAAACCATTGTTTGTAGTTTTTCCATTTAATCTGCTATAAGAGCTGTATCATTAGCATATATTACATTGTTTATACTCACGCCTCCAATGGATATTCCAGGTAGATCTATTTTTCTCATGATGATCTCACTATCTAGATTATACTGGCCTGGTGAGAATACACAGCCTTGCCTAACACCTTTTTTTATTGACAAAACTAATCATCTTGTTACCAAATTTTATCGCTGCTCTTTGGTCCCAATAGAGGTTTTTGATAACTCTCGTGTCATTTCCGTCAATGTCCAAATTTTCTAATATTTCCATAAGCTCCACTGTGTCAAGCTATCAAAAGCTTTGGAGTAATCGACGAAACATATAAACAAGTCTTTTTTCATTTCAATCGCTCGTTCGCTGATCATTAATAGCATAAAGATAGCGTTTCTTGTGCCACAATCCTCGACAAAACCACATTGGACATTTGAAATTTCAGATCTGATTCTGCTTCGTGCTCTCATCATCAGAATTCTCAAGAGAAGTTTGGTAAGATGACTCATCAAGCTGCCCGTTCTATGTAGTTCACATTCCGTTGCATTAATTTCTTTAGGCAATGCAAAAAATATTGACTTGGATAGATCTTCAGGAATTTCGCAGCTGTTATAAATCTCTTTAAAAATTTCTGTCACTTTTTCAATGCCAAGTTCATCAAGACATTTAATTTCATCAACAACTATCTTATATGGACCCGGCGCTTTATTTGATTTTATTTTGGAAAGAGCTATTATTGTTTATAATGTTTATTGACTCCGTGTTTAGTTACTTTATAACGTTAATTGCACGTGAACTTCAAATTCAGTCAGTCAATTGATTGGTATTTATAGAGCGCAATTCCTGCAAATTAACTTAATTTAGTTAGAGTAAGATTATTTCAACTCGAAAAACTGTATTTAAAACGTTAAAAACAACATAAACGCTGTTTATGTTGGTTGACAATATTGTCTGGATGGGTGTGATAGATAAATACAGTTTTACTTGTTCGTCACAACATGAATGGATGAAAAACTATGGAAAACTTTGGTACTTCATCTCCGGGTACATGTACATCAAACATTCGTTTTGTATTTCTATAATTAACACAATAACATAGAATTAAAACTTGTATTATTTCAACAAATAAACTTAAATCATATAATAAAATGAAACTGTTAAAAATATGTATGCTAAAAAACTCTGCAGAAACAAACAGTCGGAAATAAATTACTTAAGATAAATAATTACTCAATCAATCATCTGATCAACCAATCAATAAACCAACCAACCAACCAACCATCCAACCAACCAACCAACCAACCAACCAACCAACCAACCAACCAACCAACCAACCAATCACTCAGACAGCCAGTAAGTCAATCATTCAATCAATCAATCAGCTAACGAACGATGCTATAAATCAACCAGCCAATCAAATAAATTCATCAATATTATTATTGCTATTATTATTATTTTTCTTCTTGCTTCTACGACCATGTCGGTTCTTGTTATTCTCATTCCGCGTGGTGAAGAGAATATTCTAAATGAATAAAAATAAATAATAACATAATATAATAATAATATAATATAATAATAACATAATATAATAATAATATAATATAATAATAACATAATATAATAATAATATAATATAATATTATAACATAATAATATATATAATTAACTATTACCTTTATAAGATACTTTAATATGAGATAACAGACAGACAGACAGACAGACAGACAGACAGACAGACAGACAGATAGAAACAAACTCACCTGTTCATCTAAAAAGTCGATAATAAACTGTTTGGATGCGACAAACTCCATACTACTCTTAATCTTGGTGATAAGGTCAGATAACTCAAAAGGCTCATAATGAAGAATTTTCAACCTTAGATCAGTGTTGCAGTGAAAGAACTGAAATAACTGTAAGGAATGAATTAATGAATGAATGAACAAATGAGTGAGTGAGTGAATAACTAAATAAATGAGTAAATAAACGAGTAAAGGAAGGAAATAAATTACATTTTATTAAATAAACAAACAAAGCAGATTGGGTAACTTAATCTGATGATGGTGGTGATTAAAATGACGATGATTCACGTTTCGGGATGTAATTGATGATGATAACGATATAACATGTAAATGATATAATTAATTAATTAATTAATCAATTAATTAATTAAAAAATTAGTATAATTAAAGTGACCAGTCTCAACCTTTTCCTTTTTCTGCTCCTCTGTTAGTTTTACATTCTTCAATTTTAACCTCTGACTCGCAGGAATGACGTCATCATCATCATTGTTATTATCCTCTTCACCTTGACCATCATCGTCGTAATCAATGCCCTCTAGCCTGGAAAATTATTTTTAAAAAAAATTTGTGAAAAAAAAATCAAACATATCGGAAAATTATTTTGCGTTTGAATTTCAACTGACCATCGCTTATCTTCATCCTCATCTTCATCATCTTCTCCATCATCATCATCATTATTAATATTATTCCAAGCTACTGTAGCAGCTGCTGAATATTGCGTAGTTTTAACATCAGCACATGTTGATTGCAGGCCGCTGGTAACATTTTTTAATGGGTTCTTCATCTTAAACGTGAATGCTTTCTTCGCATTGTTCATCATATTGGAGGCTTGCGGTACTGATGCAGCTGATAATGATGATGGAAATGATGATGTAGTTGTTGATGATGATGTCGGAAAGATTGATGATGATGATGTCGACGACGATGATGCCGTTGTTGGCTTAAGAATTGATGTTGTACCAATGTTGTTGTTGTTGTTGCTACATAGCATCACATTGTTGTTGTTGTTCTTGCGTAACATCAGATTGTTGATGTTACTTATGTTGATGTTGTTGTCGTTCATGTTTTTGTAGTTGATGTTACTTATGTTGATGTTGTTGTTCATGTTTTTGTTGCTATACGTTCTTTTGCGTCGTTGCCTTTTAGAGTTTTGCTTAGGGGTCGGAATGCGTTCGACGTCTGTTCAATTGAATTCCAATAAATTCACAGTCATAATCATCGCTATCGTTATCATCATCATAATCACCAGAATCATCACCATGACCATCATCAACATATCGAACCAGGATGCAGTCCGTAATAGATGCCTTTCAAGATGTCGACCATTTTTTTCTTTGGAAAGGCTCTCACGCCATAGTTCTGGCAGTGCTTCTGTTATCATAATCAAAATCGCCATCATCATCATCATCATCACCATCATCATCGCCATCAAGCACATGATTACAAGAACCAACCCTCAAAACAGGTGTCATCATTTCATCATACTTCAACATTGGCGTGAATTGTTGCGGTGACAATCTACTCATACGTCTGCTGCTGTTTTGTGGTGTTGTTACTGCTACTGCTGTCGATGAATGGTAATGTTGTGACGTCGATGATGACGTCATTATAGATGTTTTTGTTGCTGCTGATGATGATGATGCTGTTGTTGTTTGTTGGGGTTGGGTTAGGGTTGCAGTTTGACCATCATCAGCATTATTAGCAATATCATCAGGAGAGTGATGACGATGATGACGATGTGTGTTTGCATCGTCGTCATCATCATTTTCGTCATCATCAACGTCATTGTCGTCATTCTCGGCAAATAAATATTGCCGCTCTACGCTTGTGAATGTTGCATCAGATGTCGATAACGATTTCCTCAAAAATTTTCGTTGTTGCTCTTGAAGCTGTGGTTGTTGCCGCTGCCGCTGCTGATTATCATCAAGCGTTGGCTGCAGTAGCAATGGTGGTTGCTTTTGAAACAATCAGTTAATAAAAAAAAACAATCAACCAACCAATCAATTGCTATTATAACTTTCAGTCAAATCACTTGCCCTGCATCTCACCAACCAATCAGCCACGTCAGTTTCTTAATCTCGCAGATCAATTTCTTAATCTCGGTAATAACGCATTGAATTCACAATATGCCAGTGACGTCGTGACTACTTACTCATAAACAGAAGCTAACCACTTGTAAAAATAGTTAGTTAGTAACTAATTCTCAACTATTTGTAACGAGGTAGGTTATAAACTATTCCCAACTACTGCCTCGTTGTTGGTTTTGATCGACTACTTTTAAGTCGGGTTTTTTCGAGGTTTTTTCTTCCGACACTGGTTTTTCAGCTGTTAAATGCCAAAACCTTCAAAAGTTTCGACCAATCAACCAGCCAGGCAACCAACAAACCAACCAGCCAGACAACCAACCAACCAGCCAGCCAGACAACCAACAAACCAACCAGCCAGACAACCAACAAACCAACCAGCCTGACAACAACCAACCAACAAACCAACCAGCCAGACAACCAACAAATCAACAAACCAACCAGCCAGACAACCAACAAACCAACCAGCCAGACAACCAACCAACCAACCTGAGTAGAGAACATGGGTGGTGACGGTGGATTGGAATTGTAGCAAGCATCGTAACCATCCAGGAAGTCTTCCCAGGCAGAGCCATCATCATCATCATGACGGAATTCGTTATCATTATCATGACTAACACCTTCACGATCATTATCAAGACCAACACCACCGTCATCACCATCGTTATTTCGACAGATGTTAATAACATTTGTGCCCACAAAATTATTGTTATTATCATTATTCAAATTAACAATTACATTATCATAATTATTATCGTAATTTGCGTTTACAATAATATTCATAAGATCATTATTATCGCCATTATCACTCACATCAATATTCATAAAATCATCACCATAATATTTATCACTCAAATTAATATTCAGGACATCATCATCTTTCATCATCACTGAACTAGAAACATTGTCATCATCATTATCGTTCATTTCACCATGTATAACGTCACCAACACCATCATAATCATCACCTACATCACCAGCATTGTCAATAAAATTATTTTTATTAACATTATTATGATTAATATTATTATGATTATTATTATTATTAATATTAGCCAGGGAATAATTGCACATGATAGCATCGTTATCATCACAAACAACATCAGAGACACCGCCAAAATTCCTCTTATCATAATCATCATCATCACCCCCATCACCATTATCATCACCATCATTTTCACCATTAGTTCTATCCTTATTAGTATCATTATTGTTGTTATTAATGTTAATGTTATTGTTGACGTCATCATCATCGTCATTGTTTTGTTGCAGTTTGAAAGTGTAGTCGTCATTTTGGGTGAGTATGGAGGAGAACATATCTACGCTGACGTCATCGTCAGCAGTCTTATCGTCGCAATCATAGCCGCCACCACCACCATTACCACCATTACCACCACCATTACCACTATTACCCTCACCATCATCTTCATTATTATTTTTATTATTATTATCACTATGGTTATCAATTTTAGCACGATTCAGATTGATCAGATTACCATCCTCATCAGAATTATTATTATTATCAACGTTTATATATTTATCATCATCACTATCATCAATAACTCTATTATTATTACTATTATTAATGTTATCAATGTTATCACTGGTTGTATAGTGAGTATTATTATTATTATTATTAATTATGTCATCGTCGTCGTCCTCAGCAACGTCAGCACCGCGGCATTTTACATTTCTCTGTGTTAGCACAAATTCATAGACCTCTCTATAACCATCCTCATCATCGTCATCATAATTATTATCATAATTACCCTTATAATTATTTATACTATCATTATCATCATCGTCCATATCATTTATACCGTTATTATCATCAACATCGTTAAATGCGACGTAACCATCTGTAAAGTCGTGACAAATATCATCTTTACAGCTGATTGTAGCCCCATTATCACCAGCGATACTATTATCATTAGCATTACAGACATTATTATTATTATTATTATTATTATTATTATTATCACCAACATCGACTTCGTTCATACTGTTGCATAAAAACCCCAGGCCAGTATAGCTTCTAGCTTTAGCAACATCATCATCGCCAATTATGTTATCAGTTCTATCATCATCATCATCCTTATTATTATTGCTATTATTGGTATAATTATTATTATTATTATTAATGATGACGTCACCACAAGTCGTTTCCATCTTCATCGAGCAGTGACTATTACTATCACCACCATCACCTCCACCACCCCCGCCATCATCATCATCATCACCACTGATGACAACAACATCATTACTAATAATACTAGTTTTACCATCATTATCAAGGACAGCAAAATTAGAATTAGTAGCAGTTGTAGTTGCAGTGGTCGGTGTCAAAAAGGTAGTAGTAATAGTAGTAGTAGCAGCAGCAGCAGCAGTAGTAGTAGTAGTAGTAGTAAATGTAGTAGCAGCAATAGTAGAATTTGTTTTTGTGGAATTGTATTTGATCAGTTTATCTCTGCAGTAAGATGACAGCTCTTCAACTTTGTACCTATCAATCAATCAATCAATCAATCAATCAATCAATCAATCAATCAATCAATCAATCAATCAATCAATCAATCAAACAATCAATCAATCAATCAATTCAATCATAACAAGGTAACTATTTTTGTAAATATTAAAAATGAAATTTTTTATTATACCTATAATTATGTTATCCATCAAGCACATGCTTTAATTATTACTATTAGTATCATCATCATAATCAAAATCATCATTATCATCATGAGTAATTGAATGAGTGATTGAATGAATGAGTGATTGAATGAGTTATTAAACTAACTTATCAGCGAGTGAAAGTAGTTGCCCAATTATAACTGGAGTAAGCATTAATTGAGGTTTCGTCTTTGATGATGATGATGTTGAGGGTAGTAGTAATGATGATGATGATGATCTCGATGCGACTGATGATGATGTATTTGATGATGGTGGTTCTTCAACTGTTTATAAAAATAAAATAAATTATAGAACTACAATAATCCCATAAAATATTTCCCCCACTATAAAATCACCATTAAAGACATCTTATTATTATTATTATTACTACTACTATAATTTTATCTTTTTACTATTATTAAACTTCATTATACAAAGTTAAACAGATCATTGCATTGTGAAAGTTAGATCTATCTCTCTTTATCTAGTTTTTACTAAATATTTAGCTAAACATTCTGATGTGTTTGTCTCTCAGTGACGTCATCTTACTCACCACCAAATGCAGTGACGTCATCAGCCAGCGTCATCTTACTCACCACAGAATGATAAATCTCCAGTGTATAGGAACTTCATGAAGAGGCAGAGGGCAGCATAACAATAACCATTCATGTGCAGTTCTCTTTCATTTTTAACCAGCTGGAAAATTATATACATATATATATATATATATATATATATATATATATATATATATATATTACATCAATTCAATTTTTAAATTATAATTGATAAATAAATAATAATAAATGAATAATAATAATAAATCAATGAATAAATCAATAATAATAATAAATAAATAATCTGCACGGTTCTACTGCTACATGCCAAAAGCTTGGTAACTTCTTTACATTTTTTTATGACAACTGAATTGAATTGGACGTAAAATGGTTGGAGAAGTTGTATCAATATGTGTGTGTGTATGTGTGTGTATGTGAGAGAGAGAGAGAGAGTGTGTGTGTGTGTGTGTGTTTTGTGATTGAAATTAGTCATGTTATGTGTATGGAAAATTATTTTTAAACTAAGATACGAAAATTCTTAACATGCATTCGCCATTCAGCTGCACTCTCAATTATCTTCTCCTTCCTCTACGTCAGATTTTGTTTGTCAAATAAAACATGAAGACAGAATTAGCTTCTACCAGGATTTTAACGTTCAGGATTAAATAACAAGGCAATCAACATCAACCATCATGAAAGATTGAGTAGCAAATTTTTACAATAGCGATTTTTCAAAGCTTCTTATTTCATTAAAATTTTGAAAAAAACAAACAGTTATCGCTAGAAAATGCAACAACAACAGCAACGTTTATCATGACGTCACACACGGCGTCATAACATCACTAAATGGTTTGTTGTTATTATTACTCTTATTAATAAACAAACTAACTTGATATAACTCGGGGCATCTGCAGAACAATATGAATTTATGTGCATAAAAAACATTATTATTATTATTATTATTATCATTATTATTATTATTATCATTATTATTATTATTATTATCCCTGACAATGAAGATTTTCAAATCACTGAGCATAGGATTATTGATCATGAGATGAAATGAGTTGATCAAGTTAGTTACATTAGATTTTTGTTGTGTCGACCATGATGTGCCTAATGATGTCAATGTCATTTGTGACGATGTTGATGTCTTTGTTAGTGATGACGTGGTTGTTGATGTAGTTGATGATGATGATGATGTAGTGGTCCTTGAAAATGTTGTCGTTATTAGTAATGAAGACGACGACGAAGATGATGATAACGATGAAGAAGATGCAGTGATGGTTGTAGCATCATTAACAGTAGTGCACATATTCAACAATGGCTCTAAGTTTTTGTCACCTTTCAACTTTTGTACCGACAAAACATCACCATCACGATCACCATCACCCCAATCATTACCTTCATTATTATTATTATCATTATTATTATTAACTTTATTAACAATATTATAATTATCATTATTATCATCATCAGCAGTCTCGTTAGCCATTTCAAGTAGTAGGTATGCAGTTTGTGTAGGGACAATGCTAACATCACCATCCCTGCTAATGGCATTGCGGTTGCCAGCACTGTCATTAATATTACTATCATTATTCTTATTTTTAATAGTCACTACATCATTAGCGTTATTTCTGTTATAAAGACCAGGAACTAGATAATAATGATAATGTGGACAATGATGATGATGGTGATGTTGATAATGATGATCCGGTGCTTCTATAGGAGAATCACTTTGACAGCAATTGAATGAATTCAATGACCACATAGATATCTGACAAGAGATTATTTGTATAACATCATTTAACACACCGACAATGCACACACAAACACACACACACACACAAACATCACCTACACATGATACAAACACACAACTCACAATACAAGACAAACAACTAACCCTTGGAGTATATCTCTCCAGCAATTTACAATGCTCGAACACAGAGTACAACAGCTGCATACAGGCAGATAACGACGACGATGAAGATGAAGATGATGACGGCTTATTGAGAATCTGGAAAAATTTTTCCGTGTTTAGCATATGAGCATCCCTCGCTTGGATGTTGGTGAGTGCGTAGTTCTGCATCTGCGGTTCATTCCTGGTTTGGATTATAAACGAGTGAGAAAATGAACGAGTGAGTGGATGAGTGAGTGACTGAGTGGATGGATGACTGAGTGTTAAAACGAGTATGAGAGTGCACCATCATCACTAACGTTGATTTAATTTTGCCTCTGTGTCCTCTTTTACACTGAACTCCATTTAATTTATTATTATTGCAACTTTTAACATTTCTATTGTCAACTTTTGGTATTACTATCCTTATAACTTTATCACTGAAACTATTTTTGTTATCATTATGATTATTATGATTATTATTATTATTGTAATTATTATTGTTGTTGTTGTTGTTATTAGCTAATGATGATGACGACGACGACAATGATGATGTTGATGACGTGTTATTGTCATCATGTGATGACGTTGATAGTGCGATGGCTAGCTGAGTGTCTTCATCAAATTTACTGTGGTGGTGGTGTGGTCCAACATTCATCATCATCATCATCGTCATTTAAACCTTCAAACCATCACTCAACCCTCTAATTAAGGAATGAATGAAAGGATGAATGGATAAATAAATGAACAAATAAATGAATGTATTAATGAGCAATAAATGAATGAATCAAACAATCAAAACCAACTTAGCAGGTTCCTCCAGTCTAAACTTTTTCTTTCTCGTCACAGGAGTTGACCTTTTAAACTGACCTATCAAAACTGATTGCCTTATTTCATTACCTACAAGGAAGAAGGAAGGTCCAAAAATAGGGATGTATCAGTTCCATAATATTAAAACATAAAAATGGAACACGGAACACCATACTTACTTGAGATATTATTAAATGCCAAATTAGAACTGAAGTTCTCTTTTAATTTTTCCTCCCTATCAGATTCCTGTTGACGAATGAGGCTGAGCAGATTGGCGTGGGGAACGTTGTATTCCTGGCCACATTTCTTCAGGTGGGTCCGCCGAGACTGTATGGTTTTCAGTGACTTTCCACATATAGGACATGGCAGTACCTTCATCCTCTCCTTCTCCATCCATTCTCTACGACATTTTTCTAACTTTTCCTTCTCTTCTTGCTGTTAAAAGCATGGAGACAACAAATAACATACAACTTCAACATACAACAAACTAATACATACAAGATAAAAATACAAAGTTACATAAACATGAACACACAACCTAAATATACAGTCACATTTAATAAACAACAATATACAATATATAATATGAACACAGAAAAACTCTACATAAACAATTCAAACACACAAAAGCATTTAATTCAAATATTAAACCTCATTAATGCATTTATTCAAATGGAGTTCTCTGCCATTTATATCATAATCTGAGATGTTAAGCTGACAAACTGGACATAACATGTCAATTAATGTTGTTGCTGCTGACGTTGTTGTTGCTGATGCAATTGATGTAACCACAGCAAATGTTGGTACTGCAAGGGAATGTAAGCTTATACTATTAGTTGATGTTATTTTAAGTTCATCTATTTTTGTTGGTGTGATTGTTAATAGAATTGATGACTTAATAGGAGTTGTTGTCACGTTGGTGTTTGTTATTGATGTTATTGTTGTCATTGATGCAATTGTTGTTGATGCCTTTGTCATTTCAGATGTTGAAGCAGCATCATACAACAACCCTGATGAATAAGTTGCAGCTGATGATTTTGAATTTGTTGTAGCTGCAGTTACTGCTGTTCTTATGCAGACAGAATTTTGTGTTGTCATTCTTGAGGTAAAAAAAGTATTTTGATGTTTCTGAGAACTGATCATCAAAGATGCTGATGCATCAACCAAATTTTCCTTTTGAGATTCAGCTAACTGATCCAATGAAATGAAATCAATCAGAAAATTTTTTTCATGTGTCAGAGAGTAGGAAGTGAAGACAGATCGGTCAGTAGATTCAGCCGGTATTGTTGCAGCAGCAACTCCAACCCTACCTGGGGACCTTCCTGTTCCTGGAGCACTTCGACTGAGAGGACATTCAGGAAAAAATAGAGCGACGGTTGACTCGACTGCATGATCGAGTTTCGCTTCGTTCACAAAATTGGAATTATCACTATTTTTGTTGAAAGTTGTGGTAGTGCTGTTGGTGTCATTTGCCTGATTTTCCAAGCGAATCTTCTTATTAGGTGAAGTAGTTGAATTGTGCGATGGCTTTGGACGTTTAAGTCTGTTTCTAATCATATTTAATTTTGTATAAAATATTTATGATACGGATGTTATTTTTTAAACGATTGTAAATTTAAATTCCCAACTTTCGCTCGTAAACATTTGTCGCCTATAAATTTTGTCAAAGTTTAAATAACTGAAAACTATGGAAAACTAGAACAATTTAACATTTTTTCTGTATTGACAAAAGGTTTGTTGCATATAAATAGAATAAATGCTGGTGATGTTGTGAAAGTATATCAACATTTCTATTTAAAATAGATTTAATTAAAAATTTAAATATTAATTTTAAATTATTCGTATATAAAAATTATTAAGAATGAAATACAATTTAAAACTTTAAATTAAACATTAAATAAATCTTTACAAGCAAAGATAACAGTTTTTGCCATGAATAAATATCAACATATAGTGTTGTAAACAGAAGGCATAATTATAGTGGATTTGATCGTGTTATGATTTTTGTTCCTGTCAGTCATTTTCGCAATTTTTAATAAAAAAAAGTGATTTGATTTATTTAAATTCAAATTTGTTGAATTCGTAAGCGTCATCATGTCTAAATCGCCTGAAAGACTTTCTTCGTCACCGATCGATCCCAACAACAGTAGCCAGTGTTCGATCTGTTTGGGGTCAATCGACCTGCAATTGCGGTCCGTAATTTCCGTCTGCTTCCACGAATTTTGTTTCATCTGTATCAAAGAGTGGTCCAAGACGAACGCAGTCTGCCCGCTGTGTAAGCAATCATTCACTAAGATCTTTCATAACATCAGGTCAGATGAAGACTATGATGTGTATAATGTGGTTGTTGTTGGCAGGAGAACTGCCTCTTCCTTTTCCCCAGCCTTGCATTCTCACCGTGGCGAGACTCATTACCGTTACTTTCCTCACAATAGGCTTTCCTATTCTCCACCGTTAGTAGAGCTTTCATTTGTTCTTTTGATCTTAATAACCAGTTAGTTGATTAATTATAAAATAATTTTCTTAAAATATGTTTTTTCAAAGTATCTGCCATATTTATTCATCATTATTTTTCATTTGCAGTAGTGAGTAACTTATTATTTTAAAATTTCAGTGGATTACAAAATGTACGTTGGAGATATTTTGGCCTGTCACCATCAAATGGAGTAACATCAATCTCTAGAAGAAATCTCTACTTGCAAAACCTCTGGACAAAGAAAATGATTTCAAACTGTACTCAAGCGGAAAAATTTTGCCAAACTGGGGCCAACTTCTATAGAAAATATCCGGCTTGTTGTCACAGACTGGCACCATGGTTGAACAGAGAACTAAATGGTCTTTTTAGTTATGGGAGCTCAAATGTGAACGTCAGTGATCTAATGCAGAAGATTTTGGACCTCATAAAAGTCCACGATATTACCAGTGCAGAATTTTATAATGAAATGGAACCAATTTTCCAAGAGAATACACGACACTTCATTTATGAGTTTTTCTCATTCGCACGAACTCCATACGATATGGAGACATATGACAGTAACATTAAATATTCACCGAATGCCGATACCAGAGTTTATAATATGATAATTAGTGGTAATAATAATAATCCTATTGTTGTTAGTGATGATGGAAACAGTGTTCCTCGTGTGATTCCTCCTCCTCCAACTTCATCACCCATTGCCTCAACCAGCTTCCAAAACGACATGCGACCACCTATTAGTAGAAATAGAATCAGTGGTAGAAATAGTGGCAGGAGCAACTTCAAAGTGGCATTCAGTGGTAAACTGGTGTTTCAAAATAGTTCTGCGGCCAGTAGTGACGTCGAAGTGATCTCTCCTCCAACTGCTACCATCACCATTACTGCTACTGCTTCTAACAGTGGTAATAAAAGCAGTAATAATAAAAAAAATAATAAAAGTAATAATAAAAACAATAATAATAATAATTATGACGTTGTTGATGGTGAGGATGATGAGGAGGAAGTAGAGATAGTTGGAATGGAGAAGCCATGGTCATCTAGATCTCCGGTTACCATATTGGATGATGACGACGATGATGACCATAAAAATGGCAACAGCAGTAAAAGCAACAGCAGCAGAAGTAAAAACAACCATCAAACTAATACTAGTAGTAAAGGTCCAGGATCGAAACAAACGACCCTAGAAAATAATTTTCTTGATGGTTATGATTGCAGTGATGATGACGACGACGACGATTGTGATGATGGCTTCATTGAATTTTTAAAAGTAGTAAAGCCCGTAGCAGTAGTAGCACCAAACCAAAAAAATATCAGCAAGAAAATGGAGTTGCTATGTTCAGATTCAACTGACCAGTCAGACTCCGACAAATATGATCATTGTGATGATCTTCCATCACCATCATCATCGTCGTTATTATTGTCTTCTTCCCCATCAAAAACGTCTACTGACAACACACTGTCAGCCTCCTCATCAACCTCTCCAAAAATTATGTCTACTTTGACATCATCTTCGTCATCATCAAAGAAGTTACAGCCTTCAACGTCATCATCTTCTTTTTCGTCATCACGTCATACTTTGCCGCCGTTCACAGTAAGGAGTAGTCATTCTCATCCAACCCGTTTTCTAGATGACGTTGATGAAGACGATGACGATGATGATGTCGTTGAAACACTGTATGAAGAGAAAAATGGTAAAAGAAAATTGAAATCTGAAGTCGGGTTCCACAATCTGAATAGCTTGTTTAAAAAACATTGTACTGGTCACAAGAACAGTAAGAAAAGCGGTTGATTCATGATTAATCACTACGCTATATTGAGTCTATTTTATGCTAACTTGGATTATTGCTATGTAAACATTGGTAAAATTTATATTTCAACGTTGTTACTTCTTACTCTCATTAGATACGCGTCAAATTTTATGTTTCAAATTATTGCTCGTTTAATAAGATTCTTGGATGTACTGTCCTAGTTATTTGGGATTTCAAATTTAAAGTAATAAAACACATTGATTACATGGCAATCATAATTCTTTTTCTTTTTCTATGAAAAATTTAAATGTTCGCAATACTGAAATCATTCATTGAGGTATTTATTTCTCGTGAAATTCCCTTAATTCTTCGCTGATTTAGCATGGCGATCGGCAACTTATCAACGAGAAAAACTACGAAGTATAACAAAGATTGACCTCTTAATTGTTCGGGTGTAGTTAGATTAACGACTTTATTACGAGAAACGCTGCGAAATATAAATAACATTGACAAGCAAAGTATTGAGTGAAGGATATCTCCCTCATCGGTTTTTGTTAAAAAATTCCCCAACACTTGTTCTTTGTACTGTTGTAAAGTGTAATTTTTCACAATGAGTTTAATATATATTTCATTATTTATATATTATTTCATCTCGTATCAGAATTTTGTTTAAACTGTTCATATCTTCCAGCGTTGTTAAAAAAATTAATTTAGTCGTTCTTAGCATATTTTTAAATTTTATATAATTTTAATTTTTTTTTGAAAACCAGTTTAAAAGAAATTAATTTTATTAGATCACTAAAAAATAAAATACGGAATAAATGTTTTTCAAAGAGTAAAAAGATAATTTTACAATGTATATAACATATACATTGCATCACCACGACCAGTCCAATGACTCCAGTTTCATCCTCTTGCTCAACATCCCGTCACCTCCATTTCCACGTTTTCGTTTACCACTGGATGTTGTTTCTGCATAATCATCTTCATCATCATAATCGTCGTCGTCTTCTTCTTTTTCACCTTCATACATCAATTGAAAGATCGAATCGTAAAGAGGTTGATCAATTGAAGTCTGCAAGATTACTGAATCGGAGGTAACAGGATTGTCGAATGGTCTCTTGTCCCTGCATTTCCACAATCCATCAGCTTCGTCATCTGAACCATCAATTGTAATACATTTTGTGTCCTCCTTCTTCTTAGTTTCCACTCCTTGCAGATGATAATATAGATCCATATCCCTGTACCTTTCACCGTCGGGATCATTTTTGCGAAAATTTGTTGGCTTCACCTCAAATAACTTCCTCCTGCCATCCACTCTGCGCCAAACGGATTTAAACCTCCTCCAGCATATTGGACATTGGGGTTTGACTCTCTTCGCGTGCTTCACGATGCATTTGAAACAAAACTCATGCATGCAAGTGGTTATTACCCCTTTCTTCTCTGCAAGTATTTGTTTCAAACAAATTCGACAGTTGTTCAGCTTGGAAGATGGTTGTGATGAAGATGATGCCATGCCTAAGGTCCAAGTTGTAAACGCTAAAGATTTATTCGCTAAAGAATTGTTGATCTGAAATGTAAGATCTCCTCCTAATGATGTCGATGTAGAATACGATCTGCTGAATGAAGAACTGAAGCGATATTTATAGGAAGTTTGAATCTGGTAAGTGATGATGGTATGTCTTTGTTAGAAACTATGTTGGCTTATAACTTTGCTGGCACGCTCAACAAAGAATCCACTTTAGAAGAATAATTCACTTAGAAGATTTCACGCTTATAACTTTGCTGGCACGCTCAACAAAGAATCCACTTTAGAAGAATAATTCACTTAGAAGATTTCACGCCCCTTGTTCATCACGTCTGATTAGTGAGTGTCAACTTGGCGTCAACTCGTTCTTAATAAATGACCTTAATTACGTAATAATAACTTTATTGGTGACAAATAATATTTTTGAAGCTAATTGCAGATTAATTGATTCAAATTACCTTCCAACATTAGCAACGATTTGCAAACATCAAACACACACACACGTACACATTAATACACAAAATGTGTACAAATCAAAGGAGCCGACATTCACAGATTTAATTAGAAATCTTTTTATGAATGAGTTTGTGATTACAGATTATTTCAAATTTATTATATTGAAATCATTTTCAAATTTTTCACATTTTTTCACTTTATCTTCAAAGTGAATTTTCGAATTTGATTTTTAATGTCACTTTAAAATTTGAAATTTCAACAACATGATTTATTCGTTCTTTAGTCTCCTTCGAAATTCACTTTCAATCAATCGAAGAAACAGCAATTATTAACTTTTGAAATATTAACTTCGATGTTTCTAAAGTGAAGTGTAATTACAAACATCATTCCATTTTATAACTAACATATGAAGTCTTCGTTTGAATACTAAGACCAATAAACGATGGAAACAAAGGACGACACGACACCCACCTCTGTAAATCTATTAAATTAACTATCACAATCTTTGTTGAAACGATAATATTGACCAAAGTTGATTTGGAAAGGTATAAAAATGTGAATTTTACTGAAGAGGTCAGTTGTCAGTTAACTGTGATTCTGTCCTCTTACGTTTTAACTATTCCAAATCCTAGAAATTGTTTCAAATCATTGAAGTTACCTTCCTCAAAAGCAACTTTGCAAATTGAAGGAAACATCTCAAACGTTTAAATTCAAATTTGTAAACTGTGTAGCGGTAAGATGGAAGCCTCGTTTGAACCAACATCATCTTATTCGAGGTTGAAACCTGACGATTGTGTGATATGTTTGAGCGCCATACAACCATCAAAAAAGGCCAAAATATATGGATGCTTGCACGCCTTCTGCTTTGACTGCATCAAAGAGTTTGCCAGGAAAATACGTCCATTCTGCCCAACTTGTGACCAGGAAATCAGTTACGTGTTACACAACCTACGTGGAGACGAACAGAATGATGAAAATAATTTCTCTGGAGATTTCTACTTGGTCGAGTATGATCGTGTGGATGTGGTCAACAGTGACGATGATTATTACGATGAAGAAGCTGAAGATGATGATGACGACGACGTACAGTCGATTAATAATGATGATAAAGTGCATTCAAATGATGATGGTGATAATAAGGAACATTCAAATGATGATGATGGTGATAATAAGGAAAAATCAAATGATGATGGTGATAACAAGAAACAATCAAATGACGATAGTGGTGATCACGACGAATCAGCAATAAGTTGGAACTCCAGTGACGAAGAACTGGACAATTTTTGGAATAATTTTGGAAATGATGTACGTGAAAAAAAGGGCGATGACGATGATGATAGCGATGATGATAGTGATACTGATGATAGTGATACTGATGATAGTGATACTGATGGTAGTGATACTGATGATAGTGATACTGATGATGATACAAGCGACAATGATGATGATGATACAAGCGACAATGATGATGATGGTACAAGCGACAATGATGATTTTCCAGATAAAACTAGAAATTCAAAGCGTAGAGCTGTTAACGATGATGACGACGATTTGGATGATTTGGTGAACAAACTAGGAAAATTCAATTTCGAAGAATAACTGTTTATCTTAATTTTTTTATTTTTTAAGGAACTGCTTACATATGATTCTATAACATTTTATGATTTTTTTTAATCATTTTAAGTTTAACTATAAATATTTTTGAAAACTTTATCGTTTAATATAATTATTTCAAGTAACACTTAGTAATAAATGGTGGAGTAGTTGGCAGCATCAACAACTACCTTATAAAATACAATAAATAAATGACTTACTTGTTCGTTCTATTATCCAAGTGTAAAATCAGATAAGAGATTAACAACTCAACATCCCTACATGTATGAATACGACACAATACAATACAATACAATACAATACAAAACAATACATACAATATAATATAATACAATACAAAACAATTTAATACAAAACAATCTAATACAAAACAATCTAATACAAAACCATCTAATACAAAACAATCTAATACAATACAATAGGTACATGTATTCCTATTTGGCTTCATTCTTTGTCTGTCAAGAGCCGCCATATATCTCTACATTATTAATGATAGTAAACGATTGTATGTATCATAGTGTAATAAAAAGATTGTTGCTTTAACTTTTTAATTTTTAATTATTAAGTAATAAAATTTCAAAAATTTGTAGAAAATTAATTAAATGCCACTAATTAATTGTTAGCTTCCATCTTTTCAACATGGCACTTCTCATTAGTTGGATGAAAGTTTCATATTTTACGCTCATAAAAAAAATGTTAAATGAAAAATGTCAAAAAATCATAAATGTGATTCGTGCTTATGTTTAAGTATCTAGTTACCGTTTAATCGTTTTACTCAATTTTTCCTAAAATAATCCAATACAATTAAAATTGAAAGATTCTGTCATCACAGTCATTGCAATTTTTTCAACACTGCCTGGAGTCACATGTCTCGAGAACTTGGCCCTAGGCAGACCTGCAACGAGCAGTTCCTATCTTAGATCGAGCGTGACCTGACCTCTGATCCAGCCAGATTAGTGGACAAAGATGCAAATCCTACGTTAACAGTGGGGCACTGTTTTCACTCAAACGATCCTGCTGGTGGTCCGAACTGGGCAGTTGTTTAAAATAGTCCTTTGAAACTTTCTAATCAATTTGAAAATTACACCATTAAAATTTTAGAGTACATTTCAAAATTTTTGAGAAAAAAACATAATTTTAGATTACAATAAGCTACAACTAATAACATAAAACGAAATGTCGATTAGCTATGTTTATGATGTTCAAAATTATTGAGAAATAAATATTTTCAAATGAAAGTTATTAATAAGTTGTGTATGTGATGTTTTATATGTTTTATTTAATATAAATTCAGTTGTTCCGATGTTTCAGTGTTTCAATGAACGTCCAAAAGAAACTGAATATATAAAGATACAAATGTCACATCTTCCCTTTTAAAAGTTCAATTTTATTGTTTTTATTTAATACACATATTTAATTAAGAACATAGTTTTTGAATCTAACAGGGAGTTTTGATGAACGACTACTCCGTGTCCTCAGGATGGATTCTTGGGAAGACTGTGTGGTGTCATCTGTTGGACTGTTGCACTGAGTGTGAATTGGGGATTCCAGCCTTTGTGGTTGTGTTGCCTTTAATGGTGGAAAATGATCTGTGCTATCATCTACTGGTGCTGCGCATATAAGTGGAACTTTTTTGGTGTAGATGAGATCTCTTCGGTTCCGTCTTAAAGTTGAACCATCCTCTGTGTCAACAATGTATGATCTTGGAGCTTGATGTTTAAGACGAACAATTCCACGTTTCCATGTTTCATTGTGATTCATACGTACTACATCTTCTTCATTCAAACTTGGAAGAGATTTCGATTTACGATCATAATACTTTTGTTGTTGTTGCTGTCTGTAAACTAAATTATCTCTTGCATCTACGACTTTTGAATGTAAGTTCTGACTTGTTGTTGAAAGCTTGGTTCTTAAGGAACGACTCTGGACTAAAATCAAGACCTGATAATGGAGCATTTCTGTACTGTAAAATGTGCAATATATGGATCTGTATTGCTGTCATAGGCTCTTTAAAGAAGATTTTTTACTGTCTGAATCATTCGTTCTGCTTGTCCATTTGATTTAATTTATCTTGGACTGGATGTTGTTATCTTAAAGTGCCAATCATTTGCAAATCTGTGCATCTGGTTGCTAGAAAATTGCATGTTGTCTGCTATTATTTCTTCTGGTATTCCATGCCTAGCAAATATTGCTTTCAGTTGTATTATTATTATTATTATTACGCTAAACAAAGGCAAAGACGAAACGTCCCTGTGCGTTCTCAAAACTAAGACAATTTTAAAACAATAAATTAAATAAACCTATGAGTCTATACTGAATAAAATAATTAATGTTTTTATAAGTCAAATAATGTATTAAACCTTGTTAAAAAAGATAATAAAAAAACAAATATAAATAAATTAATCACATATTCTAATCAATAAATTGACGATAATATCGACACATACTGATAAAAAATTCGAATATATCCCAATCTCACAAATAGCCAATGTCACATCAAGTATCATTTGCCCTCCAATCATACATAAATCTGGCATTTATAAGATAATTATCCAACTTTTTTTAAAAATCATTCACACTATCAGCATTCACAACATCAACACCCGGATTGTTCCTGATATAAATTGATCTATTGATAAGTATTGTTTCCTCGAGTTCTTATGGAATGAAAGAGCAGTCAATTTCATTTCGTGTCCACCTCTTCGTCCACCAGCTTTCATCATTACTGGGAGGTGGGAATATGACTGAATCCGATGTTTTTGTTGCTAATAGGGCAATTTCTGGGAACTTTGAAAAATATTCTACAACCAGGAAGTAATCTTTACCTGCAAATTTAAAAATGTCAACTCCAATTTTAGCCAAGGTCTGTGAGGGATTTCATGTGGAAGCAATGGCTCTGATTGTTGTTTTCTGCGGTGTGAATTGCAAACTGAACATCTTTCAACCATTTCCCCAATTTCACGAGACAAACTAGGCCAGTATAAACAAGAGCGTGCCATGGTTTTAGTTTTGTCTATTCCAAGATGACCTTCATGTTGAACTTTAATAGTCTTAACAACATTCGTTGTAATCTTGGTGAAGATTGGTTCAGAGACTTGAATAATATATTTTCAAGTAGTTTGTGGTCAGTAGTGTTTTTGCTCCATAAAACTTTTCACACGCAAATACAACTGCCGAGAGTTCTTTTTCTATCTGAGCATATCTTTTTTCAGTTTCACTCAACACTCGAGATACATAAGCTATAGGTTGTTTATTTTGTAACGGTACTGACCCGATTCTTGTTGAAGAAGCATCTGATTGGATGCATGCTTGCGTCTTAGCATCAAAAAATTTTAAAACAGTTGTTGCAATAGATTTCTTTAGACATTATGCTCCAATAATCATCCTCATTATGTGTCGAACATGAATTTGTTTGGTAGCAATTGTACTTAAATAACGTTGGATCATTTCTCAAAGCAAACATTTTTAATAACTAAAATAAACCTTGAATAAATTAAGAGCAATATTAAAAGTTTATAAACTTTTAAATTTTTCCATTCTTGTTGTTTTTTAATAAAAATCAATTTCAACAAGGGGAATGATTATAGTTGATACCAAAACCGATTGATTGCAAATGATATCGAAACAGGTTGTGAATGGTATCGAAACAGATTGGTGGGGAACGATATCATTTTAAATCGACCATAAAATATCTCATTAACAAATATATTGGTGAAAATTACAGTAAAAATTAATTCATTGTACTTCATTTTACATTTGAAAGCCATCTAACGCTTGTAAGACCATGGTCACAATGCTTTTTGATGAGACTCGTTCGAAGAATATTTGTCACTGATGTTATTTTGTAACAATGGGGTATGAGTATAATTTCACTTTGAATTATGACTAACAAAGAAAATTAAAAATTATTTTATTTCAGTTTAATACGCAAAAATTGAAACAACAACTTAGACAGTGGGGCTGGATTATATTAGGCGACTAATGCATTGAACTTATAATCTGTTTATTTTTTTTCAAAATCATTATCACGATGTATCCTTATTCATTCATTTACTGAAAAATTCATTCATTTGTTACCTCATTCACTCAGTCGCTTATTCTATCCACTTGTTGTTCCACCAGTTAGATAATTTCTTCCTTTTTAGTCGTTTATTCAAATTTTTTTCATTCATTTCAATTGTCGTCCTGTCTGTGATTATTACGTCGGTGTTGTCAATCTCGTTTGACTGGCTATACTTCCCGCGTAATGACCGCTGTAGACTAGATGAGATCAATCAATCAATCAACCAATCAATCAATCAATTTTCGCAATGTTCAACAGCGCTCCTCAATGAATTTTGCAAACAGATGGGTCTTGAGATCCGCTCTGAACTTCGTAAGTGATGGAGAAGTAGTCAGAGAAGTAAGTAGAGAGTTCCAGAGAAAAGGACCAGAAAAAGCAAAAGCAGATTTGGCAAAAGAGTGTTTAACACGAGTTAAGAGGAATTGAGAACAAGAAGACGATCGTAAACCGGGGCGTTTAGGTTCAAATAATATATCTGATTAGTACTTAGGAAATAATTTAAATAAAGACTTATACATAAATATGCAAATTTTAAAAATTATTCTATATTTTATAGGAAGCCAGTGCAAGAGAACAAGATATTGAGATATATGATAAAAGAGAGGGACACGAGCAACTAGACGAGCAGCAGGGTTAAAAACTTTACTTAAAGGATAGAGTGTAGAACCAGGAAGACAATATTAAAACGAGTCACAATAATCAATCCTAGAATAGACTAACGAAGTAACAAGAAAGAAAAGAGTAGGTGAAAGAGATTTGATTTGATTGGATGTCTGCCAGGCCAGTGTGATTCGATTAACTTCAGCAGAACAGTTTGCGAACTGAACACTCATCTGCGTGGCTACAACAGAAGTTATTTGAAGGTGAACACCAGTTTCCGCTCAGTTTCATTTAAGCATCTTTTCTTTTCATCCAATTCGAAATGATCTACTTCTGTTTTCCTTTTCTTTTCCCATCCATGCGAGTTTCCATGATGACTTTGGATAGATTTGATTTGCTTTTTAGCACGTGTTTAATTCAATTTTTTTGCCATTTTTTATCATTTTTTATGGTGCTTATAAGTTATAACCATACTCATAATCATAACCATAATCATTTCATCCACTTCAGAATTATTTGTTTGTGTTTGTTCAACTTGTTCCCTCCATTCTTTTCCAAACCCACACTTCAAAGACTTCAAATTGTTTTGGTGTTTTGAAAGAAAAAACATTAACAACATCAATTTTGTTTTTAAAATATGTTTTTAAAAAACTTGTTACATTTTACATCGTTAAGAAAATTCTTGTTATTTATGTGAGTTGTCAGCCTCCAAGATATATATATATATATATATATATGTATAAATATATATAAATGTGTTAATATTTGAATGAAAAAAATGTTAGAATAAAAGCGAAAAACAAAATTAACATCAAATGTTATTAATAAAACTGGAAAACAAAACTGCTGAATTACTGTTGAATATTTCAATTCATAAAAGGGCATACTTGAGCATGTAATGCATGAATGTAGTTGTATAAAATCATATAACCAATTTTGCATTTTCACGTAATTATACACAATTATGATTAACAAATTAATGAAAATTTCGTAACAATTATTCTCATTTTGATAATTAATTATTAAATAAAGCATAATTTGCATCTGGAATATAACACACAAAGATAATGAGAAATTATATATTTTTGACCTAAGTGAATTTTTAAAATAATTTATTATTCAGTAAAATTATTATGCTATTAAAAAGTTTATCATTAATAACAAGTTTCAGTTTAAAATCATCCTTGAAAATGTACGTTTGAAACAACATTTCAAAGATTAGACCATCGGTGAATAGGAACACGGCCAAAAAGTTAAACATATTTTCCAAATAAAGCATATCGTCTAAACAAAAACGAAACATCTGGAGCTGATGCTTTTTCTCTAACTATGGATACTGGATAGCTTTTATAAGGTTATTCATTTGAAAAACAATCTTTATATCATCTTAAAAATGTTTCGACAGTAACGTTTAGGCAAATTTGATTAGAAAAAAAGCTGTCAACTTTATAAATAATTTAAGATCTTTTCCTTGAAATTTTTTTTTATTTTTATTTATGTTTTTCATTTCTGCTAAAGAGTAATAGCATCAAAATTGTAAAATATCAAATGAAATTTTCCGCTCAACACTTTGGCTCAAAATAAACCGAAATAATTTGAAGCAAACTTCCATTTATTCTCACTAATTTTTCTAACTTTTATTTTTCACTCATAGCAGATCTAATTAAATAATCAATTATTAAAAATTAACTTCTATAAAGCCAGATAAATTGCAATTTATCAACCTTTCTTAATTTCATGTTGCGTGCCGATAAGAAACTCATACCATCATGTTAAAAATAGTTAACCAAATAGGAAAAATTAATTTTCTTTATCGTCTTCACAGTTCGAATCAAGTTGACCAAGTCTCTCTCTGTTTTTGTAGACACAACAAGCAATCAAACCGCAACTTCCGAGAATGATAGCGTTGACGGCAACCAGAAGAATGATGTATGCAGTAGACAGAGATTCAGCAGATGCTTTTGATGAAATGGCTGTTGTTGGTGACGTTTGTGCAGCTGTCACTCCTGCTGAAGTGCTCGTGATGGCAGTCGTTGTCTAAATGTATGAAAAAATTCTTGAAAAGTTGAAATTAAAACAAAGCACACTGACCGTAACTGTTGATGGTCTTGGTGTGATCGTGTTGCATCTTGGAGTATTGCATGTGCATTCTTGAACAGATTCCAGCATAGTACAATCATTAGATTTTTGAGTATCAGTGCAACCAGATGAAAAAAGTGACTCTGCAAACAAAATTAAAAATACAAATTTTAGCAAATATCTCAAAATGTCATATAAATATAAATAATAAATATACAGATTTATAACCTGCAAAATAAATTGTACAGAAAGAAGTTGTACACTCGAAAGTGTTGGTGCAGCCAGCATAGTTCATACAATTGTAACACGTGAGTCCACGAACCGGTCCAACAAAAACTATCAACGCTGACAACAAAATTATGATCATGTTTGAAAATTTAAAATAAAATTTCAATTTGTGTAATTGAACGTTGTTTATTCATGGTGAAAATAATATGTGAAACTTAATGAATTCTGCAGGAGCCAAATGGTTTGGTGCTTTGGTCTCTTGATTTTATATAGTCATGTCTTTTTATAACACATAACGTATATAACTATAAATGTCTCTCTCTCGCACGCACGCACACACACACATACACACACACCCCACATGTATTCATAGACACATTATATTGATTGATTGATTGATTGATTGATTGATTGATTGATTGATTGATTGATTGATTGATTGATTGATTGATTGATTGATTGATTGATTGATTGATTGATTGATTGATTGATTGATTGATTGATTGATTGATTGATTGATTGATTGATTGATTGATTCATTGAGATTGGTCTGGGGATTGTCGTAACAAAGAGTTGAATAAATAAAATAATTTTTCTTTTCAAAGTGAATGCACGAACCATGTGACATGATTTATTGTAAAACTCATTGAATAAATTTTTATTCAAATAAGCTGAAATATAATCAAATATTTTCAAATAGTACTGTAAATTCTAAATCTCATCTAATCCATTAATTTCAATACGTTCAGACATTTAAGTAATCGGCAATCTCATTCAAGTCATCAAAACTGTTTTCATCATAATCCAGAACAAAATTTTCAACCTTTTTCAATGAAAATTTGGTATGCTAAAGAAATGATAACGCACGAATTTGTTTATTACTTCCATAAGCCTGTCTGCAAGATATGTAACAGTTGCTGCCAGCCATCTGCCTCCCCAACCAAACCTTGATTTGAGAACATCAGATTGTAAATTTCCAGCAAGAACATAATTTTACTATTTTGTCCTGAAAAATTTTAATGACAGTATCAATGGCTGGTTGACTTTCAACTTTTATTTTGTCGACAATCAGGACATCATCGATGAAATTTATTAAAAACCCTGATGGTAAACATTCTCCGATTAATTAGTATTTAACAATCTCTTGCAGTGAAGAATTGATTATATTTTCTTCCATTTCAAGTTTTTTACACATTTGTGTAATTCGATGGTTTTCGGACGTGGTTTTTTGTGATTTCAGTTGGACGTCCAGGTTTACTACGTTTACTACATATATAGATGTCTATGTGAGAGAGTCTAAGAAACAAAGAATTCAACATTGTTCCTGCGAACAAAAGAAGTTCATTCTTTGTAGATCATAGTTGATTCTTCAATAAATAATGTTAAGCCTAATAATTTTAAATCTGTCTATGATTCAACAAGAAATTTCTAGTTTTTTTAAAATTACAAAATGAAAATAATGAAAGAATCATATTTTTTTATCATGACTGGTTTGGATTTTTATTACCTAAAGTAGTAGTAAACAGTTGTCAGTAAAATAATTATCGTTCGTAAATGTGAAAATTAGAAAAATTCAATCTGAAAATGCAGTATCGATTTTAGGAGGTTTTTTAGTGCTTTTAGCCTTCTCCCTCCACCATCTCTAAGTGGCTTCGATTCAACTGTGAAAATGAATTTCAACACTTTCTCACGGGTAAAATTTAAAAATTCTGAAATGCCTAGCCTGCTATTTACTTGAACTGATCTGTACTCATACATCAGTCTTCTGCTGTTGAAATTTGTTGTCGAAGCATTGTTCTGAATTGAATACAAATCGTTCAAGGGCTAGCTACTAAGTTTAAATTTAAATTTCTCATATAGACGATCAAACCTTTGTAAACATTTGCAACACATACACATACACACACACATACATACACACACACACATTGATTGATTGATCGAATGTTTAATTGTGATTGGCACCATAAACGATTGAATAAATAAAAGAAAATTTTTTCAAAATGAAAGCCCAATCGAATAATAATTTATTGTAAAACTCAGCAAACAAATTTTTATCCACGTAATCTGATAAATGATGAAACATATTTGAATGGTACCCTCGACGTTGAATGTCAATTTTAAATTCGAATTCAATAATATTAAATTTGGTTGGTTGGTTGGTTGAATGAATGATTGATTGATCGATTGATTGATCTATTGATTGGTTGATTGATTGATGTTGTGATTGATTGACTGACTGACTGACTGACTGACTGACTGACTGACTGACTGACTGACTGACTGACTGACTGACTGACTGACTGACTGACTGACTGACTGACTGACTGACTGACTGACTGACTGACTGACTGACTGACTGACTGACTGACTGACTGACTGACTGACTGACTGACTGACTGACTGACTGACTGACTGACTGACTGACTGACTGACTGATTGAATGAATGATTGGTTGGTTGGTTGGTTGATTATTGATTGATGATTTACTGATTGATTGACTGATTGATTGATGGTTGCTAGTCATATGCATCCCACCAAAAACAATAGATACTTTATTGGTGATTTTATAAGTCTACCAAAAATCATGAATATTTGGAAGACAGTAAATATGTTGAAGATAACATTTTGTGAAAATATAATACGACCAGGTGAACTCTAGAAAGGTATTTCTTTCCAATGCTTTTGCAGTGTTAAACATTTTAATCATGGTATGCTAACGTACATAGTGTGTTTTTGAGGTGGTTGATTTGTTACAAAACAAAATTATAAAATTAGTTATAAAATTACAAAATTTATTATTTTTTGGCAGTGGTTTTGCTTGGAATGGCAAGAAAGTTCCACAGTTTTTCAATTGAGGCTTGTCTATAATTTGTGTTGAAAAAATATTGAAATTTTAATGTGAAATTTATAACATATTGTTATTCCCAGCATGAAACCAAGCATCTGATTGGTCAGTTTTTATATCTACGTCACGAAATACGTCACGAAACATCATCTGAAATTACTGAATCACAAACGAAACAACAAACTTTTCCAAGTGGAACATCTGTAAAATTAGCCTTAACAAACAAAATGATCCTACTTTAACGCCACAATACAACAAACACATAACAACACGGCAATAACAAAACAACAAAAATAACAACAACAAGAAAAACCAAACAATATAAGCAACAACAACGACAACAATTTTACAGCAACATAACTACCTCACGTTCGCAAAAAATGTTAAAGGCCAGCTAAACAATCAGCAAGCAGAGCAATAAATAATTAATAACAAAACGTAACGTCGTCTGGAAGTAATGGTCGCGACAAAGTTAGCCACAACTACACAACAACGACAACAGGCGTTATAGCTTCTCTAAAAAAGACATAGCAATCTCAACAATTATGGAATAGCAGTTACGCTTGACTGAAATTTAGTCTGATTGAAAGCACACAGCGCTTGTTGCTTAGAAGTTATCCTTGTTTAAGTATATAAGTAACAAAACTCGTATTACATATGCAATTCATTATGTAAGATGTTTTAAATGATTGATGATTTTTGAAAAAAGGTAATTTAGAAAAATCCACTGAAATATGATTTGCATTATTTTGTTAATGTGTGTTGCCGTGATACATGTTTCGGTGGCAGTACAATGTTATGAATGTAATGATCCGAGCCCGCTGGTTACCTGTGCATCAATCACCTGTCCAAATTATTGCTATCTATATTTTGATGTGGAACGTAAGTTTGTTTATGTATTTAGTTTTTCACATTTATTCAAATAAAACCATTTTAATTATACATGATCTGCCTTTCAAGTAACGGAATTTAGTCGCGGCTGTACAGATACATTGACTAATGTCGATTGCACTACGATAACTGAATCTAGTGATTGTACGTGTAGTTCTGCTAACTGCAACATCATCACGCCTCAACCAACCACAACAGAAGTATGGTAACAATTGTTGTTTTAATAAAACTCAGATTAAAATTAAAACTTATTTTTAAACATCAGTCCGTTACTACAGTAACGACAGCAACAACCACTTCGTTGACTACAGTTAACACAGTAACCACTTCCACAACATCTTCGAAACCAACTGGAACTGTTTCCGTTTCGACAATAACTGAGACTGTCATTGTTTCAGCAACTTCCACGGTCTCCGCAATTTTATCCAAAGCATCAGAAAATGTTCCTCCAGCAAGCAACTCACCTGAGCCAGTGTCAACGTCATCCATCATTCTGCTTGTGGTTGTTAATGTGGTCATCCTTGGTGGTGCCACTTTCATTGTAGCCTGCGTCCTACTGAAGACCAGGAACAATCGGGCTTAGCTTGAATCAAGTTTGCCAAGTAAAATATTTTAAAACATTTTAAAATATTTTAAAATATTTTAAAATAATTTTAAAATAATTTTATATCTAAATTACATTTTTCTAAAAATCAAAATATTCATTGATAGGCCTGAAGGATGGTGCATTGTTGTTGAGACATTATTCTCCAATAGTCATCCTCATTATGTGTCTAAAATGAATTTGTTTGAATTTTTACTTAAATAAGTTAGATCATTTCTCAAAGCAAACAAACATTTTTAATAACTAAAATAAACGTTGATTAAATTAAGAGCAATATTAAAAGTTTATAAACTTTTAAATTTATCCATTCTTGTTGTTTTTTTAAGAAAAATCGATTTCAACAAGGGGGAATGATTATAGTTGATACCAAAACCGATTGATTGCAAATGATATCGAAACAGGTTGTGAATGGTATCGAAACAGATTGGTGGGGAACGATATCATTTTAAAACGAACATAAAATATCTCATTAATAAATATATTGGTGAAAATTACAGTAAAAATTAGTATTCATTTTACATTTGAAAGCCATCTAACGTTTGTATGACTATGGTCAACATGCTTTTTGATGAGACTTGTTCGATGAATATTTGTCACTGATGTTATTTTGTAACAATGGGGTATGAGTATAATTTCACTTTGAATTATGACTAACAAAGGAAATTAAAAATTATTTTATTTCAGTTTAATACGACAACAACTTAGACAGACAGTGGTGCTGGATTATTTTAGGCAAGCAGTGTATTGAACTTCGGTTTATTTTTTTCAAAATCATTATCACGATGTATTCTTATTCATTCATTTACTCAACCCTTTATTCATTCGCTACCTCATTCACTCAGTCACTTATTTCGTCTACTTGTTATTTCGCTAGTTAGATCATTCCTTCATTTTTTATTCCTTTGTTCAAATTTCTTCATTAATTTTTTATTTTCTAATAAATACTTTCCTTTGTTATTTCATTCAGTCTGTCATCTGATCGCTGATTCTTAAATCAACGCTCAACTTTTGTTTGCTAGCTCGACTCTATGCATTACCTACTTTTGTTGGAAGCATGTGCATTGTGCCTGCTAGTAACTTTTGAAAAGCTTTCCCACAGCAATGTTTTGTTGCCTTATTAAACATTTAAGGAGTTAGTTGGAGGAGCCAAACTAACACGATCACGAACCATGAAGTTTTGTCATTGCTCAACATAGAAATTCAACTGAGCATCGATGTTGTCAATATTACTTTAATTTACAGACCTCCTAAATGCAATTTAAATTTATTCTTTGACTTTTTATCAAACTTTCGCAAAAACAATGTATCAAATTTTTCATATATTATTGGCGATTTTAATATAAACCTGAACTCCTCGAATCATACTAAAAACCTTTTTGAAAACATTCTTTATTCTCAAAATTATCACTCGCTTATTGATCAACCGACTCGCGTGTCCAAAACAACTTCCATATTAATAGATAATATATTTACCAATATTTACTCAGATCACCTAAATGGCATTTTAATGGTGGATCTACCAGATCACTATCCCATATTTTCATTTAATTTAAAACAAACATCACTTCCTATGAAAGATGACATCTTAGTAGCAAGGAAATTTTCATCTAATACAATAAAAGCTATTAAAGAATCATTAATGGTAGAAAACTGGGACTCTGTTTTTAACGAATCTGATATTGACATATGCTATAATAACTTCAATTCTACATTTTTAAATATATTAAATCATCATGCTCCTCCAACAGCAATTAAAAATTTAAAAAATTAAAAAAAGTTGGATTACTAAAGATATATTAAATTTATCTAAACACGTTTATAAATTATTTAAAAAGTATAAAACAAATCCAAGCGGCAATAATTTAATAAAATGTAAAAATTTTAGAAATTTTTTAACATCTACTAAAAGATCAGCTCAAAAATATTTTTATGAAAATCACTTTTATTTGGCTAAAAATAATTCTAAATATAAATGGAAAATAATTCAAGACATTTTAAAGACAAATAAGTCGAAAAATCTAATTGAAAAAAATAAAATTGCTGACGAATTTATTACAGACAAATTTGAAATATCTAATGCCTTCAATGATAATTTTATTAATTTGGTTAGTTCTTGTCGAAACACTTTTTCTATTGACTCCTTGAATAAACTAAAAAAATTTACAGATCCCGTTCTATCATCTTTTTTTCTTGAACCTACCAATCGGTCAGAAGTTATTCAAATAAAAATTCGCTAAAGCCCAAAATGTCAACTTCTGATAATGAACTTAACTCATTCATACTTAAAACTTTCAAAAACGAAATTTTATCTTCACTTACTTATATTTTCAACATTTCTCTCAAACAAGGTATTTTTCCATCAAGCTTTAAACTCTCAAAAATTGTTCCTATTATGAAAAAAATGACCCCTATAATTTAAATAATTACAGACCAATTTCTTTATTATCACCATTATCCAAAGTATTAGAAAACTTGTTTACAAACGCTTATTTTCTTTTCTTATGAAAAACAATGTCTAAAAACCAGTACGGATTCAGAGCCCACCATTCATGTGAACTAGCCATTCTAGAATTGGTTCAAAATATATTGACCAACATGAGTTCACGTAGGCTTACTCTTGGAATATTTCTTACAAAGGCATTTGATCTGATTGATCACGATATTTCGTTACATAAACTCAACCATTATGGGATTCGTGGTATTACAAATCAATGGTTTGAGAGTTATATCTCGGGTAGAAAGCAATATATTTTTGTGAACGATGTTAAATCTGGGACGCGTGAAGTTTCGTGTGGAGTCCCGTAAGGGTCTGTATTAGGCCCTTTGCTTTTTTTAATTTATATAAATGACATTGCCTATTTATCAAAAAAGATGAATTGTATTCTTTACGATGATGATTCAAACATTTTTTATTCTTCTGATGACCTTAAACGAGATTTAGATGTCATAAATAATGAACTCAAATTATTCGAGGATTGGTTCTTCATGAACAAACTCATGGTTAATTCATTCAAATCGGCCTATGTTATATTTGGACCAAAGATTTTAACCAATAGTTTCTCGGACTTGGACCTTGTGTTTAGCAATGTGAAATTAAACAGAACCAATCAAGTTGTTTTTTGTGTTTAGTTCTGCAAGATAATTTGTCTCACAGTTATCACATTGAAAATCTTAAATCAATAAATTCATAGGTATACTTTATAAAACCAAAAATAAGATTAATTCCACAATATTAAAAGATTTGTATTATAGCTTTATATACCCTTATATTCATTATTGCGTGATCATATGGGGAAATAGTCCTACTTATCTGCTAGATCCCCTGTTAAAATGTCAAAAACGTTTTATAAGAATTTTATTTGATTTGAAATTTAATGACCACACCTCTAATTATTTTCAGATTGCAAAACAACTTTCAATGAAACAAATTTATTACACATGCATCTCAGTATTTATATTTAAACTTATTAACAACTTAATTCCAAAAATTTTAATTATTTGTTTATTTATAGTAACGTAATCCAGTTAAAACACACAAGACATACCTCAACATTTTATATTGAAAAAAACAGATTGAAACTTATCAATAGTAGCATAAGAGTCGTCGGACCTAAGACGTGAAACAAATTACCTGAATATTTGAAAGAAGCAAAATCCGTTGTAAAATTTAAAAAGACATTAAATCCTACTTTTTAACATTTAAACCCCCTTAACTTTTTGTGTGGGTTTATGTACGTGTGTGTGTACATGTGTGTGGGTGCGTGTATATGTGTGTGTGTGTGTGAATAAGTATTTTTTACGTGGGTCTATATATATATTTGTGTTTTAATAATTACAACGACATTCTGGTAAAAATGTAAAAGAGATGATAAAGATTACTTAATAATTTTGATTCCATTTTTGTTTTTTTTTAGGATTTGTAATATGAATGTGAGTTTACATGCACTAAAATATTTAAAATATGCTCTAATTTTTACAATTTTCATTGGTAATTATTACAAGAAAATCATATTTTCTTTTTGATTTCCAGATCATCTCTTTTCATTGATTTTCATCATTTCTTTGATTTCTTTGATGAAATAAAAAATGTCAAAAATATAAATTTTCGAAATAATGAATGTTTCTGAAACTTTTATTCCTTACTTAGAGCCAGTACACCTCCTCCGCTGCAGAAACATTTAAAAAAAATTCTGTAAAATTGAAAACAAATTTATCATTATTTTTAGCAGATGTTTGTCAAGTGTTGAAGTTATCTTATTTTGGCGTTATTATTATCTGTTGACTCATCCTTTTGCATAGATTTCTTCTAAATAACATCATTAATTTTTAACACAGCTTAAATTGAATGAATCCTTGAATTAATCCAACCCAGAAGTTTCCATATCCAAGAAATATTTTAATTTCACGATTTTTTAATTTGACGATTAAATAAATTAGAGTAATTAAAACGATGCTTTACACTTTGGTTATAAATTCAAATTATTTTTTTTATTAAAAGTTCATACAACTTAGCAATAGAAATTAACAATAAAATTATTAAACTACTGCAATTTGTTGTCTTTTTGTATCGAAATGCAGTGAAATTTGAAACAAAGGTAATAGAGGGAATTGTTATACCGTAATTATCACAAATTTTACAACAAAGTGTCTTATGTTTATGTGCGTGTTTGTGCGTGTGTGTGTGTGCGTGTCATGACTTGAAACAAGTTTTAATATTAAGAAAAGCTGGAAATATTTTTCTTGATTAATTGTTAAAAAATTTCATCAACAGATACATCACACACACACACACACACACGAACGCACACACAAATCGTCTTGCATATTTTATATTCTCACACACACACAGAACAGCAATTGCACCTGCATAAAAAAAACCAGACTAACAGAACGATCAATTGATCGTCACAAGATATGTTAACCCACTAGTACAGTTATAATTAGCGTTCCCGAACACACAAACACATGCCCAAGGTATTCGCTAGAAGTTAATGTCATTGCATATAAACAGACACACCAATAGAAACAAATTTATTTTTTCAGCAGTATCCACACTTTTCTGCCAAACGATTTTAATTTGGTAAACTATCAATAAAGATGAGCGTCAGTTAATAATAATAATAATAATAATAATAATAATAATAATAATAATAATAATGAAGATGGGTAATTTTGAATATCCCATCACTTCATTTAGCCTTTGAAGTTATATTGCATTAATTTCATTAATAAGAAAATTTAATTTGGAATATGAAACCAGTGGAAAAATTTCTGATTGCCTTTGCAGTGTTCCTCATATTCACTATCACATTCTTCAGCTACAAGGGCCTTCCACGAAGGTACAGAGATTATATTTTAACGAGTAGCGACTTCCATTGCCTCGCTAATGTTCCGTGTGTCTATGAGAATGTTGTCGATTTGAGGTTTGAAGTTTTTTCTCTCTCAAAGTTGATACGTAAAAGTATTTTTACTTTTATTTATTGGAATAAGTTCTCAAAACTTGAAAAAATTTTCATTATCAAATTTCAGTTAAATAAAAACATTCAGTTGAAAATCAAATTGTTTTAAATTTCATTTAAACGTTGAATATGTTGAAAAATTGAACTGAATAAAACTTTCCAAAACTCTCTTCCTCTTCTCGCCATCGCCCAACAGAATAATAGTGCTAACTTACGACCGAACAGCCAGCGTCTTGAAGCTGTTGAACAGTCTGCAATCTCTGGAACTTGACGGAGATGAGGCCATCCTCGAAATATGGATTGATCGGAATGCTAAAACCGGAATACATAACGATACTTATAGAGCTGTCTCGGAATTTAAGGTGTTATTTGTTATAAATATTAATTATTCAATAAGAAATATCAGATGTCGGTTTGGCTTGGTAATTCACAATACTGTTCACATATATACATACATGCGTACACACACACACATACATACATACATACATACATACATACATACATACATACACACATACATACATATATACATACATACATACACACATATACATACACATATAAACATACACACACATATATATACATTCAAACATACGTCAATAATAATCTTATGATTAACAAAAATATCATCATAAAATATTGGATGAACAAAAGAAGTTCATAAACTTTTACAACTTTTAACACACATTTTCATTTTGATTTGGAATTCCATTGAAGCTTTATATAATTGAATATAATGCATAAAGGCTAAATTGTAAAAAAAAACCTGAAAATCACTTAAATTTATAAACAAGTCATAAAAAGTTTTATTTTATCAACATTTTGTTTTATTAAATTATCCAGCTTAATTTATAACTTACACCCATAACTTGGACTAATGAAAGCATACTTCTCATAAATTTGTTAAAATAGTGGACCAAAGGTGCAACCAGAATTCACAACCAAACAAGTCACGTGGGTATTATGGGCCAATGGATCGACACATGGAGACCAAAGTTCGCACCACCTTTCCAACCGAAAAACATGACATCGACCATGTATCCCCACCAACCGAGTTACAAAAAAGAAATTGCTTTAATTTTGGAAGATGACTTGTCAGTCTCGCCACATGCTTATCGGTATTTGAAAGCCGTTTACAGAAAATATAATGGGAGAGCTGATTTTGCAGGGGTCACCTTGACAAGCGATGAAGCAAAGGCCCACAACACTGGGAAAGCACTGAGAGGTAGGCTGTGTTTCTGCTGTAACGATCGTTTGTTTCAGATGGGAGTTTTCTTCATGGACCGCTAACAAAAATCATAAACGCCATCAAGTGGTTTGACTAGTAAATTCACAATACATTATGTATTCAATGGCATTCAATGTATTATTATGAGGTAATGATTAATATCATAAATTATTTGGGGTTGACAACATAATTTAACTTTTTTGCAAAATATGACTTGGATAACAAAGTAAAAAAACCAAAACATTCATTTCATATCACTAAAGAAGATAATTTAAAACACCTAACTCTTGGAAATGATTCTTTAAATTTTTCCTTCCAACGCAGCCCCGGCAAACGAGTCTGCCTTCATGTACGTCTGCATTGGCACTTGGGGATTCGCCCCTTCATCTCAATATTGGGCGGAGTTTCAAGTAGGAAACATTATGCAAAAAAATTTACACAAATTTGTGACTTTAATGAAAAAGTTTATAAGTATTAAAATGTATCTTGAAAATAACAGGACTGGTTTCACTACGCCCGAGGAATCAAAAATTTTCAACCCTACCTCAATGGCACCAAACCGGATAGCTGGTTCAGAGGTTTTCTCCAGGAAGGCACACATGATTCTATGTGGGAGATGTGGTTCATACATTTTGCCAGTAAGAAGAAGGCCTACACCGTTTACAGCAACTTGAAGTACGTCAATGGCGACGAGGCAGACTCGTGCGTTGCTATTAATAGGTGGGTTGGTTTTTCACCACCAAAAACAGCCAATCAGATTTATGTAGAGCAATTTTTGTGGTTTTACTCAGTAGTCATTTGTAACCGTTTAAAACGATGAAAAGAATGTAGCTTACACAAACTGCATGTTAGAATAAGACGCTCAGCCTAAATATCATTTACATTTTTAATGCCATCAAACAGGCGGGAAGTGGGACTGCATTATTCCCAAAAGGGAGCAGAAAACTTGTGCAAACTCCTGAAAAGCTGGGATCCAAAATATGAATCCATGCTACCAGACAATCCAAGAAAGTTAGATTGGGCGGGTAACATTGTTCAGAATTAAAAAATCGTTGAAACTACGATGAAACTTTCAAGTCTGTTCATCAATAACTTTGCCTCTACTGCTTCTAACGCTGATGCATCTAATACAATTACTACATCTTAGGTGCAATTCAACAGAAAAACATTTTTATTTTGTTATTTTAATAATTTCCATTACTTTCATAATTAATTAGATTTAATGAAAAATGTGTAACAATGAAATTTTTTAAAAGTTGTTTTAAAAATAATTTATTCAAGAAATATTTATAAAATGAAATGGTCTTAGACCAACGAATAAGATATACTTGTATGGGAAGCATCCAACATATGAACACATGTACACGTATATATTAGGTTCATTTGTTAACGTAATTTTTATCATTATGGTCATCACCATCACATAGTTGTTGTTATTGTAGCCATCATCATATGTTTGAACACCGTAGTCGTGGTCATTATTTTGCAAATTTTCATCAATTTAATCATTTCTGTTAAAAATCAACATTTTCAAATTCATTTCCAGCACTTCAACTCCATTAAAACTCTACATAAACTAAATTGAACGTCGTACATCTCACCCAATTATTGGTTGATCGAAATATACATATTAATCTTTTTTTTCTTCTGAAATTCTCAACCTAATTTTTCGTCCAATCAATCTTTTGAAGTTCTCAGCCTAATTTTTCGTCCAATCAATCTTTTGAAATTCTCAACCTAATTTTTCGTCTAATAAATCTTTTGAAATTCTCAACTTAATTCATCGTTCAATCAAATTTCTCCAACTTAATTGCTATAATTCAAATTCTACATAAACTATCTAAGTTAAAGTTTCAACAAATCAAATTTGAAATACTGACAATGTATACATTGATTGACGCATTAATTGATTTTTCTTCTGAATTTCAACTTAGAGCCGTGCTAGTTTCACCCCAAATCTTGCTCATATAAATATCGATTCACTCTGGAAATTTTATATATTATTCTCCACGTTCAAGTTGATTAAAATTTATTAAATTGAAAATATTCAGTTTTATTTTCATCATTCGATTTATCCAAGATGTATATCGGTTACAGCGTGGCCGCCATTTTAGCTCTGATGATCATACAGTCTTTTGCAAGTGATCCAACTTCTCATTTCAATATTTTAAAATATGTATCGTTTAAGTATTCTCAATTTTTAATTTAGAATAATATTAAGTGTTTTAGTGAAAAATTATTTAAAGAAAAAAAAAATTTAGATTCAAAATTGTAAAATTTCAAATCAACAGTCAACTTGTCCAGGCAGGTTTTTAAGGAATTTACCTCAAAAGAGCCTGGAGTGCAGAGAATTCAACGGCTTATTTTGTCGTTTGAGAATCAGGTTTTTGAATTGAACCGTATTAAATCAAATTAAAACTTTAAAAAAGAGTCCCATTGAGCAATAAACGCTATTTCAATATTCCTGACAATGGCCGCCAACATTTTTCGATTGAATATTTTTGTGGTATTAAAATAAAATTTTCACCTTGTTTGACCACCAACCATGTAGACATATTGCTCTTATGTTCAACCAAATTCTTTCAATATGATCGTTGGTCGAAAAAGTGAAGACAGAATGGGGGAATACATCATATGGGTAAACCTTAGTCTGATTTTGATGTGCATAATTAATTTTTAATTTGGTTATTCTATTAAAAAACATCACTAATTGGGTGAATTATTTTCTTTAAAATTATATTAGAAATGTTATGTGAATCTAAACTTTTTGAATCTGACAGGGTGCCACATTGATGGAGGATTTCATTTCTAAATATTGGATAATAAAAAAATGATGTATTATTAAAGTCTTTCAAATACATTTTAAAATTATCATTTATAGGAAATTTTTGTCCAAAAATGAGGTCTTTTGTGATTCTCAATATGGTTTCAGAAAAAATTTTTCCACAGAGAATGCTCTGATGAGATTTACTAATGAAATTGTTCATAATTTAAATAACTCCAAACATGTGGTGGCAGTTTTCATCGATTTCACAAAGGCTTTTGACTCTGTAAATCACAAAATATTACTTCAAAAATTGGAGAGATGTGGTATTCGTGGAAGTATGTTGTCCCTGCTTGAATCATACTTACAAGGTAGAACACAGTATGTTTTTTTTGAAGAAGCTGTGTCAAATTCTTTACCTGTTGTCAGTGGTGTCCCACAAGGAAGCATAATGGCACCACTTTTTTTTATCCTATTCATCAATGATTTTGAAAACTGTCTATATAGCACAAATCTGATTATGTATGCAGATGACTGTTCTATATATGTAGCTAATGAAAATATCGATATTCTGCTAGAGGATGCCAATAAAACTCTTGAAAATGTTTACAAATGGTCTAGAGATAACAAATTAATAATAAATTTAAGTAAAACAAAATTCATGGTTTTTAAATCAAAAAGAAATCTGACTTCAGATCAAGACTTTAATTTAACACTAAATGGTACTCAGCTTGGCAAAGTTGCTAATTTTAAACTATTGGGTGTCTTTATAGACAATAAACTGAATTTCAGGAAGCATATTGAACACACAATCACAAGGCTTCACATTTTTTATGGAATGTTTCTAAAAATTAAACCTTTTTTAAATAAGAACATCAAGAAAATTTTATATAACTCAACTATCTTTCCCTACCTTTATTATTGTAATTTAGTTTGGGGGAATGCAAATAAAACAGAACTAAATAATTTATATTTAATACAAAAAAGATACGTCAAATCATTGTTCTCAAATGATTATTTCAACAGTTCCATAAATAAAAATATATTTTTGATAACCAAATTATGGCTGTTTATGAAGTAAATAAATATAAGACATGTTTATTAATTTTTAAAATTATTCATGAAAATAATAAACTAAATAAACACGTCATAAATTTAATTGAATACAATAGAATTTCAAACACCCGATCTAATGATAAACTTTTAATTAAAACAAATTTAATATTGAATAAAATTAGTGCTCGTCAGTTTTTCTATTATGCGCCGTTGGTTTGGAATGGACTGCCATTTTATTTGAGGGCTTTGACAAATTATAATGATTTCAAAATTCAATTAAAGACCTATTTCATATGTTTGTCATAATGTTTTATAATTTTTTTCATATAGTTACTTTTGTTTTATACATTTTCTTGATTGGTTTTTGTGCTTAGATGTGTGCGCATGGGTGTTGTGTTTGAATGTTTGTCTATGAGATATACAATTGGAAATTACTATTATATTATTAACAGCCAAATAATGTTTGATCATAACTATTTCCGTTATTACTTTTTTGCGTGTGATCAATTGAATATGTGACTTTAAATGTATGGAATTGGATGTTTTTGGGGTTGGCTGAAAAAAACACTCGTGGTTATGCTGGAAAAAAAACAAAAACTAAAAGAATATGTATCAAAGAAATAGAAAAAAAACATCGTGAAAGAGGAAGTCCTTTAGTATAATACTTTCAATACATGTTATGATCTAACTTGAGTAATCGTATGTATTTGATTATGGGCATAAAATTAGAATAAATATAACGGCCTTCGCTCATTTTTGACGGTTGAGCAAGGAGCTTTTTTTCCGGAGGGGAGTTGGAGGGTGATTTTTTATCGCCCAAGTCTAAAATTACGATCGTTTATTTACTAATTTCGGAATATTGCTTTTATTTAAAATGTTTTGAAAGGTGATACTAGATGCTGCTTTAGGATAGATATTGCTGTATGACGGTTTTTGCATTTTAAATTAAAAAAAATTTTTGTGAACCACTCTTCTAACACTTTGACTAGTTAACGATTAACTGTAACCGGTAAGGGTGACGTAACAACATTAACGACGACTAATTAGTAATTAAATTACTAAACTCTAATAATTAAGCTAAAACTAAACTACTAATTCTAATTACTAATTAAAATAAATAACAGATAACACTAACGAACATTAACAGATTAGACTACTAGAGACTACCAACCACTACACTACTACATACTACAACTACTACACTAACAGCACTTGTTCCTAAAATCCAAAATCCTATTGCTTGATTGGTTGTAAAATTTTTACTTACAATGCTTAGGCCTGGGAATAAAGAATATATTTTTTAAAATAACTAATATTCAATGATTTTTGCTAGTTATTCAATTATGTGAATAATTTCATATAATTAGAATAATTGTAGTAATTTTCTTTAATTTTATTAAATAAAATTATGATTTTATTAAATAAAATTATGTATTATTAAATTATTGTTGTTAATTTGAATATAAAAATTATACTTTTGGTCCTGTGAAATCCGGTGGTTTTTTACTGAAGCCGAAGGTTGGCTTAGTAGGATTGAACTAAAGTCACCCTTTTTTACACTATTCGATCATGTTAAAAATTTGTTTGCTCATGAAATAAACGACCTAAATAGATAAAAATTGTTATTTGAACAACTATCTTCATTATATTCAATGAATATTTTACATTCTGCTGGTGCTCATAGAAATTATGGTTGCTGAAATCATACGTTGGCTTACTGCAGTGGCTTACTGGGTCTCATACAACAGTGTCATGGCGGTTTTCTTTACATATATTGCTTTAAATAAGTCAATATATTCATTTCACAATTATTTTTGTCAATATAAATAAAGAAATTGCTTTTGTCTGGTAAAATACAGTGGCCAACTAAAGCCGTAATCGGATTTTTTTTCATATATAAATCATGAGATCAATCAATCAACCAATCAATCAACCAACCATTCATTCAATCAACTAATCAACCAACCAATCAATGAACCATATTTGAAAAATATTTGCAAGGCTTGTTCAAACTCGAACAAACACTTAACTGTACAGATCTACAAAAAATTTCGAGATTTTAGTAAAGAAAGAAAAACACAATAGTTGCTTTTATTAAATCAAGAAATATCCAAAAATTATATAACCAAATTAAAAAAAACTAGAAACCAGTCAACATTTAATAAATAATTAAATAAATAAATAGACATTATTAAAAAGATTGTTCAAAAAGGTAAAATTTAAGGCGACGACGAGAATAAAATGTAGTTTGTTTTGTTGGTGTGGGACTGTGAAGCGAAAACAAACACATCACAAAAAACTAGTAAAAAGTCGCAAGAATAGTAGTCAGTCACCTACCTACAATTAAATTACTCTCAGGGCCCTAGCTTACTTATCATTAACTCAACTCACCTACCTACAAATATGTTTTTCTACGTTTTTGGAATTTTACATGTTTTAGGTATTTTATTTTACATATTTCAGCGTTTTTATTTTACTTGAAACTTTTTAACTAATGTTAAGCCCTAGCCTACCTACGATTGTTCAACTCATCTCAATCCCTAACTTACCTACGAATTAAATTAAGTCCGGTAAAGAAAATAGAAAGTTGAAGAAAAACATAACAACAACGACACCGAATGAATGGATGTTGTGTATGTGTGTGTTTTATTGATGTGTGTGTGTGTAAATATGCGGGCGTGTACTCTCCAAAAACTTCACTCACTACGGACGAACCTCCATTGCACCGACCATCATTGCACACGCATCGATGGAATGAATTTGACCGGACACTGAAAAACACTAAATTAAAAAAAATAATTCTTTTAAGTAAAAAACAAGCCATTGGAAAAAAAGGCAACTTATCTTATCTACCTACTTCTCTGACTACTTCTCCATCACTTGCGAAGTTCAGAGCGGATCTCAAGACCCATCTGTTTTCAAAATTCATTGAGGAGCGCAGTTGAACATCGCGGTAATAGCGCTTTATAAGCTAATTGATTGATTGATTGATTGATTGATTGATTGATTGATTGATTGATTGATTGATTGATTGATTGATTGATTGATTGATTGATTGATTGATTGATTGATTGATTGATTGATTGATTGATTGATTGATTGATTGATTGATTGATTGATTGATTGATTGATTGATTGATTGATTGATTGATTGATTGATTGATTGATTGAGATGACAAATTCGAGTACTT